TCACCCTTTTTTGCTCAAACTAAATAAATAAACCAACTCCATAAGGTTTGTACCTGAGGAAAGAAATCTCTATGTGGAAATTGAGCCAGGAATGAGAGATGGGTATTTTTATCCATTTGTTGGCGAAGGGGAACCTCATTCTGATGGTGAATCAGGTGATCTGAAATTTCGTATTAAACAAAAAAAGTATGTAAAACGTTTCCCTTTTTCTCTTAGTTACTTTTTAAATTACATTTTACAACATTGCGTATAATAGATAACTTATGTTCCATTTCCTTAGAGAAACAGTAGTTTACAAAGTTTTTCGCGTTACCTTACTACTGAATGTTTAGAAACTGATCAGACGATGGGGTTATGAGTAACAAAATACTGTCGTACATATTAAAGTATTTGGCTTTTACCAAATACTGATTCTAAGTCGTTGTTAAAGTGAAAAATGAACATTGGATTTTGATAATATAGCATTTTTTAGTCACTTAACCAGTAATTCTGCATTTATATCCAAATAATCCAATAATGTCATGAGTGTATTCCGTAAATTTCTTCGTTTCGTCCGACCAAAAATAACTATAAAGGCATTCCATTGAATTACAATTACAGGAAAGTTTTTCACAAAACTGACGTCCATTAAGAATAAACAACTCTATCATGAACTTTATAACATTTATGAAGTAAAACGGAACCTCTCTATTTAAAAATGTAATCATTTCATTAAATTGGCTTGTAAGGACCCAGTTAATGAATCGTTTTGATAGATTTTCATTAAACATTATTTAAGAAGCTTATTTTAATCTGAACGTCTTAATTATCCCTTCATCGTTATTGTCATTCACCTCCATTGTAATGAATCTTGAAAGCGGATGGTAAAATTAGTCGTAGTGTTTTATCAACAAAGCCTTGTTAGCTAATTAATGTGATTCACTAATAAAACTTATATCTGTGCAGTTGGATTTGAGCCATACTTAATGTAGTCAGATCGAAGCACGTTGAAAGAAGTTTTGACTTGTAATCAAATGGTTGAATATAGGGCCCTCTAACTCTCGAACCACAAATCCAGAATCTAATCTGTGGTAACTTATTTTCAGTATATACTTAGTATACACCAAAGATCTTTAGTTCTTGTGTAAACACTATTTATTTGTCTTATAGACACAATATATTTCATCGACGAGGTGATGACCTATACACTAACATCACTCTAACTCTGGTCCAATCGTTGAATGGATATCATGTTTCATTTCCACATTTGGATGGCCATCAAGTAGGTAGTTTTCTTCTTTTGTATTCATCCGTTTTCATTAAATGCTTTAATATTTTGTCCCCCTGCATCCTTCAGCATAGAATTTGTAAAACTCCAAGCAGTGAATAAAATTAATGAAATTTAAGGAGTAAAATGTTAAAGCAAGTGATATGTTATTTCTAAGTGCTCAAGTTTATGGCTAATAATATTGACACTGATATTCACTTAACTATAATAGTTGAAATACTGTACTTTTTTGTTGAATTCATTATCTATAGCTAAAGTGAAGAGCCTTCTAAAACAATAAATTAGAAGTGAAGAGGACACAAAGACTTTATTTTACTACACTGACATTAAGCTAGACAAATAAGTATCCAGTGATCGTTGTGACGGAAAAGTCAATGTTTAACGAATCGTGTAACAGTGTTTGCCGAATAATATTGACTGAAACATTAAAAAGAATGTACGAATAATTGTAATACTCAAAAGTAAACTGTAGGTAAGTATGAGAAATTGTTTGGGTCAATCTCTATGGTGGCAGTATTCAACATGAAAATTTTGAAATAATCCAAATCTGGAGTTTTGAAACTAACCATGATAGTGTCACAGAAACCACTATTTCCTTAAAGTCTCAATCGCCGCTTTTGTTTAAAATTTTGTCTTTTTTAATAATAGGTTGTTATCTCAAGTGATCATGTAACCTCTCCGGGGACAATTATTCATAAACCAAATGAAGGAATGCCTAATTTTGAAAATAATAAGCGTCGTGGTTCTCTTTACATTACAATCGATGTTCAGTTTCCTGAAAACTTTAAAATCCCCGAAGATAAACGTAAAATGATTGCAGAACTTTTTCATTCATCCAGTACTAGCACCACCAATACTCTTTCATCATCTCAGCCTGATCAACCAACACCAGCCCAAATTTACAATGGTATAGATGGAGGTAGCAAAAAGATAAATGTAAAAAATTAACTGTATCAATTTGGTTCTATGTAAACTACCCTGTTTGTGTTTTCCTGTATTTAAGAATCGTTGATTTATCCAACCTACTTTGTACAGCTGTCTTCTACCCATTTATTTGTATTTTTATGATATTTGCTGTTGTTTTTGACCAATTCTTAGACCTGTTTTTGATTTTATTAAAATATTCCCAACTTTGCGGATGCAAGTACAGCTGCATTCTGTTTTTTTGGTAATAAACATTGAGCAAATTGAATTGATAGTTGATTTTTTGCTTGATAAATGCCAAGACGATTTATTGCAACGAGTTAATAGGTAAACAATTTAACTCATCATTTTTGTCTATGTAAATCAAAATGACAATAAAAAAATGCTTTTTTGTATACACTCTGATCTTATGTATGTATATTTGATTAACATACAGTTTTCATTCCTCTTATCATATTGTAGCAAAGTGATTAGTAATCATTTTAAAACCACCCCACAAACACCTAGTTTCGATTGTTTTTAAAAGCTAAATTATTAATATATTTTTCATCAGTAACTGGATGTAGTTTTTTATCTGGGATATAAATGGAGATCAATATGATATTAGACATTTTTCGACATTCATACTTAATGCCAGTTGAATACCTGCTATCACTAAATCTGTTTCTGTTGTTATATTCACTGGAATAACGCACCCGAGGTCAATTAAAGTCTAAAGACTGTATTGGTTCCCAGAATATATGTGAGTATATATAAATAATAAGTGACTATAAGAAATAATAATTATCTTTGATTAAAAAAAATTCCCAGTCAATGCGATAAACTTGGCAACAGTCGGCTGATAGGTACTAAGTGGCGATTCCAATAAACCGGGGTGGATTGTGTGTATCAACCAATAAGATAACGGTTAGTTCACGATTAGACAATAAAATGCGAAAAAATAAACTATTGAATACAACACTTGTTAATCACAAAAAGTACAGTTAAAACAAAACGAATCTCACACTTATGCTACGCAATATTTAAGTCGTCCTGTGATCATATATCTATCCATATGGGAGACCTGTTACGTTTCATAACATTTTGTAGCCAATATTTTATAAATTATTTGGGTACTTTGTTTTCGTTTGATATTTATGGTACATTTATTTATTATGTCCACTTTTATTGCTTCCATACCCTGTGGTGGTTGTGTTACTCATGGCAGGTTCAACAATAGACTATCGAACTTACATCTCGCAGTTCTGTCTCTTACTGTCTTTGTGGTTTTTCTGAATGTCATGTAGCTGGTCATTTTTTATTTAGTTGGACACACACCGGTATAAGGGGTCACCAAATACATATGTGCTACACATTAATAATGAGGTTATTAAGAGATAAAGTAGTAAGTACAATAAAAAGAACAGCAGAAATCAACAAAACTTAGTGTAGGGGAGTGAATTATTAATAGTGGAGAAGCAGTTTGAAATATAACTAATGCATCTGATGAAATATGAGCAATACGACACACAGGTAGATGCCTAGCTGATATAGGTTTTTAAATGCGAGGCAGATACTTAGTTTATAAAGAAGTCTTAATCCCTGTCGGTTAGACACTACAAATACAACACAGAGAACACCAACCCAATCACATTTGATGAAGAAACTCTGTAACAGGTGGGAACTCCCACGTATTCGGTCAGCATGATCGATGAACGAGGAGGGTCTGGTGCACACGTAAAGGCGAGGATTGGCAAAACAATGACAGCATTTCTACAGTTGAAGAATATATGAAACTCAAAATAACTCAACCAATATCAAAGACAGGTTCTTCAATACGAACATCAAGGCAGTTGGTTCTATTGTACGGAGCTGACATTTCGAAAACTACTACAACTATCAGCAAGAAATTATAGGTATTTGTAAACAATTGTCTACGTGAGATACTCAATATCCATCGATCGGATACTGTCAGCAACAGCCTACTGTGGGAGAGAAACCAACTCCCAGCTGGGGATGAAATTAGGAAAAGACGTTGGAAGTGGATAGGACATAGATTGAGGAGATCAAACTGCATCACGAGTGAAGCGCTAAATTTGGATTCTGAATGGAAACGGGAAAGTGGAAGACCAAAGAACACTGCAGCGAGAATTGGAAGGAGACATGAAAAGAATGGATAGCAACTGAAGGCAAGTGGAAGGATTGCTCAGAATGAGGTTGGTTGGAGTATGCTGGTGAGCGGCATATGCTCCTCCACGAGGTGTAACTGATGTAAGCAAGTAAGCTTGAGACACCAGTCTCAGAAAATACCTCACTAGTTAGTCAGCACTTAATTCCTTTCACTGATGGGCTTCGTAGTTTGCTAGTGTTGTATACGTTCAACATCATCTATCTATGGAAAAACAGATAGTTGCGTCGATATTTCGTAATTTTAAATAGCTCCAGCACGCTTAGTTTTTATTTTATCACTTAGCTTATTCGTGGGTCTAATTTTAGAAAAAAAAACTCAATGGCTTTGTTCCAAAAAATAAATCACAAACATCAAGAATGTTACTACAAACAATCCGAAGTTAAGGAAAACTCTCCATAAACTTATTCATAAAATGCTGAGACATTTAGGTGGAATAAACACCAACAAATCACACCCTTCCCTGAACAATTAAAGGTCAAGTTGTTTCAGTAGGAAGGTAGCTGACATTCCATTGACAGAATGCGAATTACTTCATCACCACCAGGATGTTGGTACATCTAGCTTTCGAGTTCCAAATAGTACGAAAAGTTTGTCCTGCATTTCACTACTGGCCGTTATCCAACTTTAATAATATAAACATTTTCTTAAAAAGTTTTTATTAATTTCTTATATGATTCTAAAGTTAAGTTAACTTTTACAACATATTTCGAGTGTATATCGTGATAATATCAATTGATATAAATAAAATAGTGAATAAGTATACATATTTGAAGTTCGTTTTTAAAATATGTATATATAATAAAAGTATGGTTGGTTTTATGAATTGGTGATTATGTATCAGGTATCCCGAACCTAGATTTCTTATATTATCACTCCGTTTAATCATCCAATTGACATAGTAAAGCGACACCTCTCATAATCCAATGACTTTCCGGTTTATCTGATGTCAACATAATTGGTAATACAAAATTTGTAGAATGTCCAGTTGTTGATAGTACACCACGACGTTCACTTGTTTTGTAAACTGGTGCTGTATAACTAGGCCTTGATTTAATATCACTCCGTTTTATTGGTATTAACCAAATCTGTGAAAAATATTTTAAAAAAACAAAACAATTTCAGTGTGAGACTAATACTTCAGTGGGGTTGCGTTTAACTAATATTCATTTTGATTTATTAATTTTCTCACACCAAAATAATTTACTACCACATACAGTCAATATGGCAATTTTGAGGGGTGGAATTTTAAGAATATTTTTAGCACCTAGTATTCTTTATCTTTTAAGTTTACGTACAAGACATTTTTCAGTGAATTTAAACAATGTGAAAGTTCTGGATCCTATTTTTTTTTAACAAGATGGATGTACTAATAACAATTAGTATATCTAATCGCCGTTGGCAGTTATTTGTGTTATTGCTTGGGCGGTCATCGGTCTTATTAGTTTTCAGAGAACTTCCTATTAGTTAGCTCTATAATCTGATCATTCATTGATGTTGGGATATTCAATGGATGTCAAAGAAGTCGAACTAATCATAATGCGTGATGACATTCATCACTATCCAATTTTAAATAAAAGTGTGACGTTCTACATTTTTTTGAATATTTTTTTTGTTGTTGTTCAGTTAGTGAGTTAATGATGCATTTAAAAGTTTAATTTTTACTGAGGACTTCGTTTTTGATCATCTAAAGGTATATTCAGTGAATATGCTAATGTAAAACATCACAACTTTCTGGATGAAAAAAAAGCTTAAAAGTGAACGTTAAAGCTTGAGATGAAACCCTCAGTGAAAAGTATGCCCTTCTAAGCATTATTCATCCACTAAATGAACGAAAAAAGCTAGATATTGAATATATATGGTGAACATTGAGGAACGGATGAGTTACAAACTCATGGACACAACCTATTTGTATTAACGTTTAAATGAATAATTTTATTTTTGTCTCAATCATTTCCTATGTAAATAAACATATAATTTTATTGTGTACAACACTTACAGGTGGCATAGGATCTTGTAAAACTTTTGGTAAAGCTTCTGCTAATTTTTTTGTACTCCTATCCCATCTTGCACCATCCACAAACAGACCGGATACATAAGCTCCTATTAGATGTAAAGAAAATAGTTAATGATTTTAAAAAGAATTACTAATAAAAATACAGATAAAATGAATTAGTGATAAGTACAAATAATTATGTAGATTAGATGGAATGTGGCTAGCAGTGAAATCCAGGACAAGCATTTCGTCGTATTCAGGACTCACCAGAAGATTGACAAGATACTGGATTGTTTTGATGAATGCCTTATTGGAAATTATTTAAATGAAGCAAAATATTGCTGAAAACATACCATAATTATTTAAATGGCTACCATTCAGATTATCTTTTTCTCTGGTATAAGGCAGAGTGTACTGTTATTTCATCGAAAATATTTTTGAGGTAAAAAAATCATAAGAAATGAATATTTTCCATCAGATCTTAATTGACATGAAGGTAAATGACATTGGAATTTCATTGGATTATTGACACATTAATTGCAATTACAATACTAGGTTGGTTATGATGACCATAGGGATTTAGATGAGTTAGGTTACTTACTTCAGCCTGTTGCACCTCGTGGAGGAGCATAGGCCGCTCACCAGTATCTTGAATGTGGGATTTATTGAACTTTTGTAATGCTGTTTCCCCAGTTGTCCAGTGCTTCTTTAGCTTCAGTTTCATGTTGGCTACAACCAAGTTGTTGTGAATTTATCAGCCGCTTGTTATCACGTAATCTACTCGCCAATTAAAATAACACTTATTCGCTCTTATACTGTACTAAACCAATGACGTTCGACCGGTTTCATCAGCCTAGCATCTTATTGGTCCGTTGCTCGCCTAGCCCGTCCGGCTGAGTCCAGAATGCCAATAACAGCCTCCACTATGCGAAGCATTTATTTCAGACATACTGGGTTTATATACCAAACAAACAGACCGCAACGCACCATAAAATAGGGAATAACATTTGTACACAATAAAGCCAAAAAGTGGCTGTGAACGTGGGAGGCAGTAGTCAATAAACTGAACATAGCTTAAGAACAGTAAACCGTACAATAATAATATGTAGGTCAAAATAAGGCTTATAACAAGGGGAATATGGATATACATAATTTAGTTACTGAATATTTATACCATAAGAATATATAAATAATATTAGTCCATTAATAGGTCTCAGACGTTACTCGTAATGTAATCTTCACTAGGATATAACACAAGTGGTGATCTGAAGCTGTGTCAGCTCCTCTCTTGGTTCTCACGTCTTCATTCAGCATTGTAAATGTTTTAGTGATGCAAAGATTAACGATCTGGTTCTGTGCAGTGTAATCCGATGAGATCCATATAATTTGAGTGGGAATATTCTGCCACTTATAACCATTTTGCTGAATGCACATAAATTTGCAAATGTCACTATTCTCGTTTCTTTCTCCCACTCAGTCCATGTCGTCCCATGATATCCTCATATCCGGTGTTGTCCATTCTGACTTTGGCGTCTAGGTCTTCCATTAGGATGGTCAGGTCCTTTCCTGAGCACTTCTCTAAAACATTAGATAACATTCATTGTAATTCCTTCCTTCATTGTTTTGAAGGATGCTTTGATAATTCTGGGTCCATGAAATTCCCATACTAAGTGCATTTTGTGCTTTTTTGGATAGCATCAGAGCAACTTCCTGAGTGTGAGGAGCATTTTCCTCTTCGTGACCAGAGTACAGTGATATCTCCGCCGAATCTATCCTTTTCTATCCAAATTGTGTCCAATGGGTGTCACTGGTTACGAGAACGACAAGTTGTATGTCTTCATCTCCGTCGCTATTTGATTAATCCTCCCGGTCTCCCACACTGTTCGAACATTCCATGTACCTATATTAGTTGTTGCTCCAGTAGTTAGAAAGAGCATCGGCCTCGTGATTTCCGAAGAATCTCGGCTTACACTATGAGGCGTCATATTTCTTCTGAATGAATATCCTTTAACTTCTAATACACATTTAAAATCGTTTAATTTGTTTATTCTGGTTTACGTTTTTTAGCAGTATTGTTTTCTACGGGATGGGAATGTTGACCTCATACTCAACCCTCCTCCTTTACCAAAGGCTTTGGACCGACAGTAGCCCAAGAAGAGCTAAATTTCCTTGAATTTTGCATTTGTTACTCTGGAAATCATTTGCTTTATGAAACAAGCGGATGGCTGAAGGAAAGTTGAGTCAATAGCCAATGGATAGAGAAAACCTTTTTTGTACCTATGATTTACTGAGGAATTTCTCTGAATTCTCTCTAGAAATGCAGGTACACTTTAGATCGTAACTATAGGATATTTCACTGATATATCGATTAGGAAATCGGGTTATAATAAATTGAAGACAAAATTTGTATATTTTTTACGGATAGTTATTTCGTTTCTTCTATTTAATATAAGCTTGTTTAGCCCCTTGTATTATGAATTAGACATTTCTATATTCACTGACAATATATAAAAACATGCATACTTTCTAGAAATTTTGTGAATTAGAATTGTTTACCTTCTGATGGAGCATCTGTATATTTGATGTCATCTAATACTTCAAATTCAAAAGATAACAAATCAATAGGTATTGTGTGCTTTCGTGCATAATTTTGTTGTACACCAGTAAGAAAAGCTTGTGTGAAAAAGAAACCAGATATCCAAAATTCCGATGGAGGTCCTTGTTCATACCATACCTAAAACATGGAATAATATTTTGAATAAAAGAAATATCTTATATCTGTAATAAGAGGAAAATGGTGGTAATAATCATTTTTACCATTTAATTTTATGTTATAAAAATTACATATAAGATATCCTCTTTGATAGTAATACATTAGATAAACCAGATGTACTTGTAAATGATGAGAGAAAATAGGGATGAGTATCAACAGTGACAAATCAAAATATGTATGATACCCATTTACACAGTCGTCCTAATATAAAATGAGGATTATAGGTCTTTCGAATATGATCACTGAGTAAGCATAATAGGTTTATGGTTATTATATACAATATTAATTTGACCGTAAGATAAGTTCATTTAGTGTAGTGTTTACGTTTTATTGATTGCTCTTATAGAGCTATCACTTTTAAAGTTAAAATGAATAAAGATGCGTTTTGCACTGACTATTCACAATAGTATTCTAAACTATTTTGGATCAACTTATGATATTTTATTATCATTTAACTATTATTAACTTTTGTTCATTTATTTAATCATGTAACGGCCATCCAGTGCTTCCAGGTTTTTCATGGTGGTCTAGCTTCAATTGATTCATGATCTCAACCATTGAAATCATGTAACAGCTTATTTCAAAACTTATGATCTTCCATTACTATTTGAATTGACATTTCAAAGCATTTCTTGAAATAAACTATTAAATAGTAACATTTTATCCAATATCCTTAACTCGATTTAGATTCATGTCATATTTACTACAACATGCCAATGTGTGTTTACATTTGTAGTTTTGATCATTGAAATGAAAAAAAAAATTAACAGTCAATTTATTATTATCTAATCGAAATCTAATTAATAGTTATATCATTTAATTCAATTTGTTTTTCCTATTTTATTCAAGTTATACATAAGATTTAATAAGTATACTCCAATAAAGCTTGTGACTTAAGGCTATATCGGGCAATCCACACAGGATATACAAATACCAGCATGAGACTGATCAATTGCAGTCCTAAATAACAAATGTGAAGATACAAGTAAAACAACACCAAGTGAATTTTACTACAATAATTGTTTGGGTTTTCATTTTCATTGATAAGATCTTTCTTAATTCGGAAACTGTAATTGGGTTTCTATTACACAATAGAATCAATACTTAACTTTAATACAAGTGATCTAAAACTACTTATATTCAACAGTAGTATGTAGTAATCAAGTCGATCATTTCATGAATAATATGATTATAACAGAATATAGATACTTTTGATGAATAATTTTACCTGAAGAAATTTTAAACGTGCCAGAAAATCATTTACATATGATCCAAGTGGTTTTAATGATGGATATGATTTTTTTCATCCATAATTTTGGAATTTTTGAAGCAAGTATTGCAGCCACTACATCTTCTAAATCAGATGACATGACCACTAAACCTTTAATAGCTAATCGAATATTTTTAAGACTTGAACGTATTATACTTAAGAGTACATTGAAACGAACCATTTCTTGTACTAATACTGTATTCATACTTTGTTCATAGCATGTTGGATACTTTCGTAATACTAATTCTGTATCAAAATTTAATGGTAGACGAGTTAAGATATCAGAAGCAACTCCATCAACTATTTCATCGAGTGATTTTCCAGATGATGATGCTCCTTTTGCCTGTTAAAAAATAATTAGATAGACATTTTGGTATTTTCGAAATCTTTTAAATTATCAATAATCATTACATTTCATTGTATGATCAGTTGATTAATAATTCGATGAAATTACTAATCACAACTCAGACATATAATGAGAAATCCATTTTGTACATTCAGTTTATCTAAAAGAAATAACTAAAGATGATCAAATCTCCGTGAATGGAGAAGAAACAAGAGGTTTCTTCAACTTCAATGTAAATGGATTGTTCAAATCTTTATCCTTTACCAGGTTTTGAAACAGAAGCACACTGATGAATTCATCTACGTTGTTTGTTTCGTCTGTTCTGATAGGTTGATGACTGATGAAATCTTAACAAGGAGAGATACTGCTCCTATGATTTCTACCAACGTTCATGTTTCGTAACTCAGGAAAGACGCGCATCTGTTTATTAGAGAATGGGTATCCTGTACAGCGATTTAGTTCATATGGGAAATGGAGTTCAAATTTGGAGGAGGTTAATATGTATGATCAGTGGTAATGCTCACTTACAAAGAAACCATGAGTTGACCGGGCTAAACTTAGGGTTTTAAGCAGAAGTGGAAATTCGACTGATAAGCTGTGAGTCCTTATAGACTAGGTCAGTTGAGACAAGTTCTCCTTTTACCTATCCATTCCTGGTTATCATTGGTGAAACTGAAGAACATTTAAAGAAGGACAGAAGAAGATGTAGCATCGGTCTAAACATTGATTAAATATTGGACTGAGTCATACTGTGAGGTGTCAAATGCAAATTAGAAATCCTGTGTAAGATGGATCTAAATAATCTCTCAGTCGTGCAGCCGAGTCTGGATCTCACTTTAAATCTTGAGTTTTTTTTGGTATAAATCATTTTCATTCTTCCACTTCATCATTTCCTTTCCAAATATGAAGGCTGTTTGGTCTTTTGATATAATTAACATTATTGCTTCGGCTCATTTAACTTTCATATTTTTCAGTTAATCCCACTGTGTTGATATGAAATCTGACATCGCCAAATAATTCTCGTTTGTGTCAGGTCCTACTTATTGATTTATAAATGACTAATTTGTTTCTTCACTCTGATCCTAAATATATTAGCTAATTGAACGAAAGAAACTATGAAAAGTTACTAGTAACTAGCACATAAATCAATAATTTAACTTATTTCAATTAAATTTTAGGCCTTAATTTGTTAGATTATGTCATTCTTATCCAGCTTACTTAAATAAAAGAATACAATAAGCTAAATGTAGATATTCTCAACCGAAACTATCTTAATCATGAAATTCAACCACTCTCATCAGAACATCCTTTCAAATGAAGATAAATGGTTGATGTTAGCAAATCATACTCCAGATGGACTAGTCAGTAATAAGTAATCAGCGAAACAATTAAGCGTTTTAGAACAATCTAGTTTAAAGCTTCAAACAATGAATGACTGACCCATCAAATTATAAAGTGAACAACTTCCCAATGATTGATTGAATACAAATGTGACTATGAAAGTTCTCTTGAAAGAATTCGTAATCACTAAGAGGGCACTTGGTGTCAATGAGTATCAATAATAATTTTTGGAGCGAATAAGTTCGTATTGTGTAAAATAAAGCTTTTGATTATCAAAAAATTCTACCCTATTGAAAAATGAGATATGAATCTTTAGAAAGGTGATTACTCGGATTCAGTTAGTACCCAATATGTGAAATAGCTCATTAAATACTGTTCATTACAGTCTTATTTAAAGTTTTTTTTTATCAGTGACTAAGTTTGCTGTGGTTTAATTTACAAAGCTTTTATATGACCTTCATTGTTTGTTCGAATTCAACGAATGAAGTATAGTTTAGAAATTGATCAAAACTGACCAAAATTTGATGTTTATCAGACCAATATAAACTCAAAATAAGAGAAATCAAAAGTGGGCAAGAACAAGCAATATTAGGCACTGTAAAAAGTTGCAGATTCAACAGAAATGCACAAACGAGCATTGAACTAGGTTGAATTGGATCAGAATCAACTAATTCAAAGTGTCTTCTAAACAGATTTCTGATATAGGGATTAAATTGAATAGAGTACAGATTACATCTGAAACCGTCTTTTTTTTCCAGTCATCTCTGCCATGTAATCAGAATGGAAGCAAGAAAAGTTTCAGGAGGAAAATTTAATTTCATGATATTGTGAATGCGTTTGCTCAGTAAGTTATTAACTGATGTTAAATACTATTCAGTTCAATTTATATAAATCTCACTATAAGTAATTCATATAAAAAGTAATGTGTTCATAAATCATTTTGATTTATTTCGAAGGGTCAGATAAATTGATTTCAACAGTCTTCGTTTCCTCACTACGCTTCGTCGGATTTGAAGTTTCAGTACAGAGTTGATATCATGCCCAAAGGTTAGATCTAACAGTCAGGTCTTAATTGATTGGAGAATGAGTGACCTGCAAACTAACATCCTCCAACCGCCTATGACATTTTATCATGTCTATTTTGTGTTCAGATGTTGAGTTCAATCAAGTTATTTTATTATACGAAAAAAACTATTCATCTGGCTAGTGGTTTCGCCTATAATTTTTAGTCATTCAGTGTTCTAAGTCAATTATATGGTCTCATGGGTATCTATCGGTCGGTCACATTACATCATTGCGTTCATTTATCGACTAGCATTCTATCCATCGGTTTTAAGATCTCACGCCACACAGAAAACGCACTCTATAAAAGTGACGACGGGGATAAAAATCGATTTTCAGAACATCGATTTTTAATAGATGAGTGGAATTCACTATTCATTCGGTTAAAACAATCGCAAATAAAACTTATTGAAATGCTTCTAAATGAGTAAAATCCTCAACTTCACCCACATATCATTAGTTTAGAATTTAATTCAGCCCAGAAAGGACGCATCACAGAAAAAATCTCAGTTCATGAAGCAATTCAATGATTTCAAGTAATGATACAACTAAGTCAATGGACATTCTTAAAGTCATTGTTGATTCAAATTCAGCCATAACACTGTGATTAAAATTTCCTGCAAATTTCCTCATTTTAATCATGGAATCTCCAATTTCGATTATAGGACATTCATCTGAGTTAGTTAACTATTCCACATACAAAGCAATTTCCACCTTTTTATTAGTTTGCCAGGAATTTCACTGTTCAGAAGATAGATTAATCAATGAAATAAACTAACTATTTCAGTCAGTTTTGAGTGCTGTTAGAGGTATGATGCCAGTTATCACTTCCAAGTTGCCCACACTATAGAAGGGTTCTTCTGGAGGTGCCTGAAAAGGAAATTGGATTAGAGGTGATCATAGTGACCTGAGAGCGTGACCGCCATGCCCAAGGGACAACTTTTGAGGTCGATCACACACAACCTTTTTGTGAGTAATTTTCGTGTTTGCTCCGTACTTTTTAAGAGCTTACCTCCGGAGACGGATATCCGTGGGATAAGGCGAGGTGTTTATTTTTAGGGTCGATCTTTTCTAAACACACCTCTTCTTGTGGGAGGGCAATATCGCTGTTATGCTGGTTGTCTGAAGGAAACACCTTACTGTACAGTCAGCAGTACGACTTCGCCTTCTGACCTTGGATTTGCTGCTTTTAGTTTTACCGTTTTTCAACTGAGCTGTCTGGCATGGTAGGACCTTGAGAAACGATTGTTCCAACCAGTATAGCTCAATTGGTTCATCGTGATAGGCAAGCCCGACCACCGTATCAAGATAGCAGCAACGGTTGGGAAACTAGCTATTTAAGAACATTTAAGTATTCAGTAATTATTTTTCTGGTTAGCGTTTTTTAGCGAATTAGTTTTCTACGAGATGAATAAACAATACCAAAACCTTTTAAATATTAATAATTGAATTTTGAAATAATTCCATATTTTAAATTTGACCAAAATGTATATTCTGGCAGCTTACTTGAGTTAAAAGTGTGCTTGTAAATATTAAATTGGTTTCTTGTTGATCTTTAGTAATATCAGCATTCTGGTGCATACCGAAAATTTCTGGATCAGGATTCAATGGAAGTGTTTTTATATAATCAATATAACCTTCATACTAAAAAAGTGGAATACAACAATAAGAGTAGATAAATGATATAAATGAATTATCTGAAGTGATCCGAGTGAATACTCTACTAAGGAAGGTAGATACTTTTAGAAAATAGAACCACTGGCCAACTGAATGAGTATTTTAACCGGGTAAATAAAACTGTTATTTTTATACAATGTACGACATTGAGGTGAATTATCCGAAGTTGTATCATTGTATCTTAACAATTTGGTTGCAAGTTAGAGAAAAAAGAATCCAAACAACAACACTAGAAGTATCGAGAAAATAAAGATTAGAAAATACAGAGTGAAATAAATGAACGAAATCAGAAAAAAAGTGACAAAATGTTTAAAATTAAAATAAAGAGGAAGAAGGTAAATAAATGAATCTTTACTGTGACAGAGTTTGCATCATAACCACAACCAGGAAGACTGCATCTTCCGACATAAATTTGTGAAACAGAAAATTAAATCATCGGCTTATGCTATATCTCTAGCTGGTCACATCTAGCGATTTCCCAACCTATAACATTGCACTTCATAACAAGTGGTAGTTGGGGTAGTATGGTACGTGTTTTAACCCTCGCAGTCTATGGAGATTACATTTTCATGTTACTAGCTAGCTACATATAACTTGAGCTTAACATTGCTATTCTTCACTGTGTGACCACATCATACACTAGCAATGAATTAGGACACTTATGATTCAATACAATTAAACTATACCTATTTTTACTTTTCATGAACGACTAATAGACAGTTTGGGGAGTAACTGTTGTAATTTCTAATAGCACATGAAGTGCTAGTTTCTTTAACACTGAAGGCATGCCTTTTTGATGAGTCCCAACTAATGTTGAATCTTTATCTATAACTTCTCATCCACACCTCCAACCACCTAGTATCAAGGAGTAATTATCGTACAATGTAATTTGATGAAATACGGCAAATCATCCTAATATTTATGCCGTAAATGGGTTAGATCATTTATTAATGTTGGGTCGGCTTCCGGAAAACTTCAACGGAGCCTCCAGAGGCCCACAAGGAGCCGAAGAGTCCTGGCCAATCAGAGTGTGATGGAACGTTCTAGAATTCCAACGTGGCGTGCTACTATTGGTCGGTAGCATAATGTGTTGTTATCGGATTGGCTGTAAAATGATGTTGATTTAACAGACGCCAAAATCTATAAATACCCATGATTTTCTGTAAAAAAATGAACCTTGGAATAAAGTGCTTTCTCTCATTCTTGTGTCTTCTCTCTGGAGTTCAAGTCGCTGTGTAGTTCTAGACTGCGGGTTATCAGAATAGCTTAGGAATCGTATATAACGTTCAACCTACACGACTTATCAATTAAAACAGAATAAATTAATACTATTCTTAGTATAATCATACTTTCTATTATTTTTTTCCAAAAATATATGTTCAGTTTTTATAATGCACTAAGTGTTAGATAGTTTACGTTAATTGACAAGAAACTAAATTTAAACAATCTTCCCGTCTACCTTATTAATCCCTTATAAACTCTTACACTCTTTAAGTAAGTTTTTTTCATCAATATGAAGTTACTCGTTACTCGTATTCGATCACAGATATCTTAGAAATATTGCTCGCATCTGCTGGGATAACCGGATAAGTAATAGTGAGGTTAGACGCAGAGTAGTAGGGAATGAGGGTAAATCAGTCGATGAGGTTGTAAATCTTCATCGACTGAGATGGTTGGACCATGTGTTACGTATGTCTGAACACCGATTACCACGACGCTCAATGCTGACTAGTCCTAGTGATGGTTAGAAAAAAGTTAGGGCAGGCCAAACCAAAACGTGGCATCAGTGCTTGAAGTCACTAAGTTCTAGCCTGAGCCATGTTGATCGATGCAGACTACTTGATTGGGTCTGCGTGACTGTCGTAACCCATGGTTGGAGACTCTTGGTGACGTGACTCAGAATCAATCACAATGGAATAGGTGTATACACTCTCTGTCTTCCCTTAAACTATGAGATTAAAATCACTTCATATCTTCCTTTCTACGCAATAATTCTTTCTTCCTGTACTATATCCTTATATGCAATCTTTTTCCTATATATTACCACCTTTGACCTAACCACTCCTATGAATCCGGTGTCCATCTTACTGTGCTAATGAGGTATGGCAACTTGGACCGATGCATATATGTGCCTGGTTCTACGTTGTAGCTGACTGACTGAGTATGAAGTTAAAAACCCAAACTCTATGGAATAAAATAAAACTTACTTCAGTATCTTCAGGTGCATAATAGATTCCACTTGAATCGAACGGATGCTTAATTTCATTAACTACTTCTGGACAATAGAAGCGCATTAAAACTGTTTTTAAAGTGCGCCTATCCCATTCATCAGTAACGCGACCACCATAATTACATTCTCCAGTTAAATAACGTAAAGCTTCATATTGAACGTCTACATAAATGAAATATGAGTTAAACTTTGAACAGCAGTTAACAATAGGTATTATAATAGTATAATTTATATTAGACTAGTTATATAAAAACAATAGACTGAAGAAAGCAATCAATGCTACTGCCCATCAGTCAGCAACAACATAGAACTTCGTACGTACGTATATCAGTTCAAGTTGCCATACCGCACTAGCAGAGAGGTACAACTGTCGATTCAAATCCTATAGTGGTTAAGGTATTAAAAGTATAAGCACATTCAGATGTCCAAAAATAGTAGTATTTCTCGACCTTAAGGCAGCATTTGACTCTGTTGATCGTGAGGTTCTATGGCAGTGTTTGTCATTGAAAGGAGTACCAAAGAAGTACATTAACCTTATACAGGCTCTCTACTCGAACATAATTGGCCGAGTGAGAGCTTATGACGAACTATCATCAGAATTGATTACCTCAAGTGACATTCGTCAGGGCTATTCACTCTCTCCACTCTTGTTTAACTTTGTCATTGACGTGCTTTTAGAGATAACACTTTCCTCATCTAAATTTCCAGGAGTTGAACCGGGTGATTCACTTGTTGACTTAGAATATGCTAATGACTACTACTACTACCATAAAAGACTTACATTTGAAAATTAAGAGTATAATTAATATTGAATAGTTTACAATATAATTAATTCATATAGATTATTGAGATAATGAATGAATAATATTTTTAAAAAAAGGGGAACCAATTAAGTTACTGTTTTAGGGTAAGGCTTTAAAAACTTATTAGTAAACTTACTAATGAACCATGTGAATTGGTTATGGATACAGAGTTGTGGATAGATATTTGAATTCTTTTCAATAACTAATAAGTGTGATTTAATACAAATTATCCGCCCCTCACAACAGACAACTTTACACTTTTTAGAATTCATTTATGCAAAGAGAAATATAAAAGCTTTCCAATACCTTATTTAGAATACATAGTGTATATAGAGCACGATGGAATATTAAAGTTTGACTAGCCAACATAAAATTATGTCTCATCACTAGTATATTCATTCTACTTTTACATAACTGAAACAATTTATCATTCAAGAGTTTTGTTTATTTATTATGCAACACTTTCTAAATATATGTATATTTATTTTATTATTTATTTAAACACATAAACATTGGTACAAGGAGGCACCAAATACATATGCGCCACATAAATCATTCGATTTTTGTGAGGGCTGTGATACTGTCCGGGTGCCCAAGCCGAAGCAGGTGGTTTTCCTAGGGGGCCACACCCCGAGCCTTTGACCTAAAGGTCTGATCCACAAGGCAGTGGAGCGTCGTCAAGAGATGCAGTCTCATGGTAGCCGGTGACCAACGATTGATTCATACGCCATTTGTTCCTTCAGGATACTGGAGCCCATGTGCACCATTGGTTTGGAATCTGGTTAAAGCGCCGGACATTCGCTTTTCGTCCTCTGAATTTCGTAAACAACACCTCCGCCACGAGAAGGCAATGAGTAGGACTTCCCTGGCAGAGGCTGTATACGCGTGGCCGTGTGAGAGCATTTTGAGAGGAAGGCGGGCCCACCCCACTCTCGGCCACACCAGGGCATTTGGGGGCTATATATGTATATGGAGCCGAATGTATTTTCTGACATCGATAATTACACTTGATTGTAAATGTTGGTAGAAGCAAACTTTAATTTTACTATTTTTTTGAAAAATGGAAATCTCATTTTAACCTTTATACTAGCTGATCATATAAAACCATCAATGCTTTAGAACAAGCCTATTTGATGAAACGTTTACGTCAGAAAATTAAGTCAATGATTTAGTCAGTTTAGTGATTCAATAAGATGAGTCGATTATTTTGATTTCATGAATTCATGTAAGTGGTCTAAATCCGTGTGCTTGATTTTGAGCTACATTGTAAATGTGAGGGCCAGTGATACTACCTGGTCTCTCTAAGAGAATTAGATGAAGGGGATTTCAAACTTGGGACTGTGAGGAGAAAAATTTGAAGTCCCTAATCATTGATCCATTGCTCAACATTGGTGATCAAGTCAATAATTAACGTTAACATTGCTAAGATCTGTATGTATGAATTGATGTAAGCTTAACAATAAAAATACAAAATAATTGTTTCATCACTAAATAAATCAAACTGAAGAGTTTTATGTATAACATGCGTAATTTTGGACATGTATTCATTATAAATCAATATCAACTAAGCAACCCTATTAGGCTCGTTCGTTCACAGTATATATTACTGAAATAGGCGTATCTAAAAGTTTATATAAGCAATAAGACTTGTATAAAAAAAGGCTAGAAACTAACACTGTACTGTCCAAGAAACATGTGTAACTGTTGAACTGATATACGTAAATCTGTTTCATTGAACTCATACGGTGTATTCCAACCGAGTGGTCCAAATTTACGTCTTTCTTGCACAATAGCATGAAAGAATACTAATCCGAATAATAATTTTTTCCAAGCATGTTTATTTGAACATGACTGAAAGAATTCTTGATCTGAAATTGGATCGCTTAAATATGATCTCCATAGATTAAAACGTAAACCTTTCGGTGGTTCATTAGTCATTTTAACACCATTTTGTAAAATTGATACAGGGAAATCTTTACTCGGATAACTCGTCAACCATAAACGAAAATCTGGATGTGTTGTGTCAGGATTAAATTCTTCCACTCTTTTCTCTAAAATACCCATCCAACTTGGTGCTAGATGACAATTTTGTAATAACACCCATGTACCATCTTTTATACCATGTTCTATCATTTTTAAAGCTATCGGACCTTGACCTTGACCAAGTGATAGTGATTCGAATTTTGTACCACCAAATCCCATATCTTCAGCAAATTTTAATAATGCTACCATAGGATCAGCACCAGGTGATAAAACAAATAATAACGGTACTGTACATGAAGAATCAGAAAATGCACCTGGTAAATCAAATGGTGGCGGTTCAATGTATTTCTTGCCTAAATTTGTTAAAACAAAATTCTGTATAGCTGGTACAATTTTGTCTGGTCTTAAAACACGTAGTATACAAAGAAATTGCAATTGTGTTTTAATGTGTGTTAAATCATCTGGTAGTTTTTCATTATGTGGTTCAACACTATCATATATACGTTTCCATACATTAAGATTACATTCAAAATGTTCACGTATACCAGTAAAAACATTGATTTGATCTAGCCGACATAATTCATCCCATGATTTAGTTTGTAACCAACTGGATGGATTTACATGTGGATTATCTAAACCGACACCGCCAGTTAATAAAAATCTCCATTCTTGTTCATTTAACAATCCCTCATGACGAAGCATATTGATAGAAAGTAAGAATGAAAATAGTAGCTTGTCTTTTTCAAATAATGATCGACATACATTACAATATAATGAATATGTTAAATAATTTCGTAGATTAGTTAAACGTTGTTCCAGATCATCAGATTTCTCAGAATTATCAATACCCATTATAAATAGATTAATAAACCATGTTAATGAATATTGATACATTGGATCAATATTAGCTAAATCAGATATTGAAAAGAATAAAATAGCTGTATGTACAGCAATTGGTACATAACCTAAACGTGCCATATCAATTTTTTGTTCAGTTTCTTCAAAATATGCTTGTTTCTCTGCTATTTCATTAGATAATTCTTTAGATGAATTCAATACTTTAATAGCACTTTCATCTTCTAAAATATTGCCTTCAGATGATGATAATACACCAAGAATTTGATCTTCTAATTCTTTCAATTTCTTTTTATTTGCAGCACCTTGTAATATTAGTTTATTTTTTTCTTCTTCTAATTCTGGTCTTTCACGTGCAACTACAATACCCAATAATTGATCTTGTAAACCTTCTTCAGTAATCATAAAATTCACTAAAGTTACTTTAACTGAAGTTTCTGGTAAATAATGAGGATTTCTAAACTGAAACACATCGAGTGAGAGAGAAATAGGATTTAGGAAAAAAATAATTCAATACTATGAAGAATTTTGAAATACAGTAGGTTAAAAAAGTCAACTGTAAGTCAGTCGTAACTCAAATAGGGTTTAATTGCTTTTAAGTAGTATAGAAAACATCAGTAAAATATCAGATTCTTAATGATATTGTGTTCAATGAATAATGATATTCACTCATTAATACTTTAGGCTTTTTATATCTAATTTCAATGGTTAAGATCATGAGTCAGTTGAAGCTAGACCACCATGGAAAACCACTAGACCACTGAGCCGGCATCCAACGATGTTAATGTCTAACTTCAACTAATCCACGAAATTGAGCGACACATTCAATATTGTCTTCAATGAGTTACTATCTCACAACAGACCTGTTTGAACTCCACTGGTCACTACTTTTTATATCTCTTAGGGATTTTTAAGGATTATTGTGAATAACTTTACAGTTCCATATGATTTATATCTCTCTATATTAAATCTTCTAAAGTGCTACGTGAAAGGTTTTGCGCATATGTATCCAAAGGGATAGTATAACTTTGCTGGAATAAAATACTTCATAATGTACAAATAACATATGTTTCGTCCATGGAAAATTAAATTTTGATTTATATTTTGGATAATGGTTGGCGTTGAAATTTAGGATTTATCCCCTCATTATTTGGGATTGTTGAAATTCATGTACTCACATCCTGATGAATCGTCAACCCAGGACCATCGCTTCAAATACCACTGTGTTATTCACAGCACAATTCTGAATATAATCAGAAAGATATAAATAGTTTTGCTATAAGCTTGTATCATACTCAATGAACAAGTTGTCGTCGTGATAATTACAACAGTCTAGTGAATACTGTTTTTATGTATGAATCAATATGTATTGAATTTAAGTTTCAACATCAGTACTAGGATGTACGTATTTCAGAAAACGAGTCAAAAATAGAACACAAAGCATGTAACTAAATAAAGTGGTATGCACTATACTGAATATAGTCAAATTATAAGTTTAGGTGACGAGACGATTGTTTAGGGGACACATATACGAAAAGCGAAACTAATCATTTGAATTCTCAATCATTAACAATATGAAAAGCAGTCAAGGCGGATATTTACTACAAAAAAATCAGTGTTCAACTCTTTAATATTAAAAAAGTATTTCACATTTAAACTAAATTCTCACTTTAGTTGTCATATAAAAACGAAATTCCAGTGAATATTCAACAACTGAATCACCAATTTTAATACATAATGCACCGCCTTGTTTAAATGTTTGTTTTAATAATAATGATTCTAACATTGGATCTAATTCTTCACCAATATTTTCTAATAATACTGGTGTACCAAATTGTATACAATTTTCTAATGTACGAACAAAATCACTATCAGTTAATTTGATAATTTGTAAATTATTCTTTTTCTCCATATTTTTTATCCATTTATTAGCTTGACTAGTCGGATCAATCATTAGTGGCCAACGTCTTGCATTACTAATAAGTAATATGATGTAAACAATAAGAAACAATAATTACAACTAAATAACATAATGACGAAATAAAACAAGAGAATGATAGAGACTATTGCAGTTGAAGTTAGCTTCCACCACGTACTCACTCACATCATTCTAAAAGCTAGAACACAGCCATTCTTTTCTGATATGGGATGGAATATGACAGACTCAATGTTCAAAATTTATTCTGTTCACTACGAAACCAGTCGGTCTTTCGTTTTGTCCGTAGTAAGGTTATATTCGTATATGACTGATCGGTGGTGTATAATTAAGAAGAGAGGGTTTTATAGTGTTTAGAGGTATATATATGGCAACCAGAAGTAACCTAAAGGTCAAGTGCACTTCATTGGGGTCAATGAGTCAATTTCCTAAGGACAGAGTGGTATATATATGAATGAGTATTTGTGCATTTTGTTCAGTAGTCTATTGCACTTCTCGCTCAGTTAGGGAGTCTGAACATATCATACCATATATCAGTATCATATTTTCGGACACCGTCAATCAGAACAATATTATATACAGTTAGCTAATTTCTGAAAGACAAACGTATGAATATAGTCACCAGTTTATTGTTGTGATTACAAATTTAGTTTACGCAAGCCTCTATATAGCTTTCTTTAAAATTTTTGGCTTTACTCCAATGTTATGATGTATTTATGAAATTAAAACTAAGTAAGTAATCGATTCTCAAAAGCCTCCGTTTAAAATTCATTTAATTTTCGTTGAATTTTAATTAACATTAAGAATAAAAATACTATGATAATTTGATTTATAGTACTGTGTGTTTGGATGAAATATTATATTTAACCCATATATAATATAGCAACTATCCTACAATCGATTTCGATTAGGGTTAATTTTGGTTAAGGCCTTTTATTAACCTACTTAACAGAATTTGAACAGTAATAATTCGCATATTTTTTGTAGAGTTATGATCACTAGATCACATGACAGAATCTAGCTCAAATGTTGATTGCTTAAATATCACTCGATGCTTCATTCACCTCCTCATGTACATATGTACTCGAATCATAATATTAGATTTTGTTTTGCCTTGCTGCGCCCTTATGCAATTTGACTAGAAATTTGTCTATGCAATCGCTCGTATATACTTTTTCGCCTGTCTGCTTCAAATTTGTTCGATATGCTTATAGATTTGTGACCTGCACTATTCGCCAATAAGCTGTTGACACTTCTCGTTTCCTTCTGATTTCAAACACCGTTGAGATTGATATAATAACGTTTATCAATATGACGGATTAAGGAAGCAAAGCCATTACAATTTAATCAGTTTAACAGGGTTTAAATGTATCAGAGAAACTGCAAATTTTCTCATCATTTTCTAAATGCATTTTCGATAATCAATATAAACTTAGTGTTTTTTTTCTCAAAACTTCATTCACAAAAACTATTGAGTTCAGCTACTGTGATCACTTTTTAAACTTAGTTAGTCCTATTTGATTAGGTGAGAAATTGTACAGAGTAAATATTCTTATAACTCTCGTGTATTTATTAGGCAAAAGGGTAGATTTCTGTATTGAGTAAATAATCCACTTATCTACCGAAGTAAGACATTATATAACGTGTTTAGCTTGTTTAATATGTGAAATGAAATCAGACTTTTAAAAGATACGCGTTAAACTATTCATGATCATAACATATAGTTTAACAATAAGACTTCAATAATCAAAGCTCGAATAAAATAAAACACAACTTCAATCAATGACAAATATAATAATTAACAATACATTTTAGTATTCGAATTAAGCATAAAGATGGTGAAGATTTGTAGCTCAGGTGGATGATTTTGATGGAGTTTTGTTCTCTGAGCTGGATGCTTTGGTCGTGGAGCTTTCATCGTTCTTCTGAACGACATCATCACCACAAACTCCAGGTAGAAGTGAAGTGTTCGAATTTCTCCATATGTGTTTCACAGCTTGTTCTGTGCACCTCGATGTTGATTGGTTCTTATTGACCTTAAACGTGTCATTGTTTACTTCTAAGAACCAATCAACGTCGAGGTGCACAGAACAAGCTGGGAAACACATATGGAGAAATTCGAACACTTCACTTCTACCTGGAGTTTGTGGTGATGATGTCGTTCAGAAGAACGCTGGAAGCTCCACGACCAAACTATCCAGCTCAGAGAACAAAACTCCACCAGAATTAAGAATAAACTTAAGAAAAAAGGAGTATGGAAGAAAAAACAAAAGAAAAAGAAACACAATATAACTTACGCCATAATGATTCCATTTTCAATTGAAAAATCATCTGTTGGTAAACCAGCAATATTCCATGCTCTAATATCAACTGGATTACCTAATGTATGTACTAAACTAAATGATTCTGAACATGGAATTGAATATTTCATAATTTCATTTAACCAAATTTTCACTTGTATTTGACGAAATGTTGATGTAAATGCACCTAAATAAGCAACTAATCCACTAGAAATAAGTATATCACCAGTAAGATTTATATATTGTTTACCAAGTGATTTAGCTGCTTCTGTCCAACGTGATTTTTCACCACCTAAACCACCAATTAATTGTTCAGCACGTTCTAATTTTTTTGTACATAAATCAACTTTATTTTCTAAATCAATTTTTTTACGTTTATTCATTTCTAAATCATCTGTTAATAATTTTAAACGATCTTGTACTTCTTTAAGTGCTGCACGTTTTATATTTAATGCATTCATTGCTGTATTATATTCAGACATAGCTTTAGCTAATGCTTCTTTTTTAGGTGCTACAATTTTTGCTACTATATCATAACGTTCTATAGCTATAACCCATTTACATAAACCTTCACATGCTGTTGAAGCAACTGCAACACGTTCTGGTTTAAAATCAGGATTTGGTATATAACGTTCACGTATTGTTTTCATTATTGTTAATGGTATATTATCTTTATCGAAATTTTTTAAATTTTCTAAAAATTTCATATCACCAAGTAATTTTTTTGATGGACCCCAAAAATCTTCAATTTTTTTACCTGATCCACTAGGATCATTTATACGATCAGGTTTAATACCTTTTAAAACACAAACAGCTTCCATAACTAAACGTACACCAGCTGGTGGGGATTTCATTGTTTTAACAATAGTAATATCCTGTTAAATAAATTAAAATAGATTGAATAAATTTAATTAGAAATTTCAATTAATAGCTTTATATAATAATAGTATGATAAATTTGTAAGTGAAAATTAGTATAACTAGTAGACTGCCGTAAATAGTCGTTATAATTCCATCAATTAGTTCTGGTTGTTATGACTTTATGTCCGGCTTTTTATCACGTGATTTATCCACCAATCAAAATACGAATTAAACAATCTTTGCACTGTGCCGAAACCAATGACGTTCGACCGGTATAGGCAGTCTAGCATCCTTATTGGTCCTATGTCCGCCTAGCCCGTCCACTTGAGTTCAGAACAACAATACCAGCTTCCACTATGCGACGCGAATCGAATCGAATCATTTATTTCAGACATACTGGGTCTATATATCAACCAAACAGACCGCAACGCACCATAAAATAGGAAATAACATTTGTACACAATAAAGCCAAAAAGTGGTTGTGAACGTGGGAGGCAGTAGTCAATAAACTGAACATAGCTTAAGAACAGTAAATCGTACAATAATAATATGTAGGTTAAAATAAAGCGTTTAATAAGAGGAATATAAAAATATATAATCTAATTATTGAATAGTTATACCATAAGAATGTATAGATAATATTAGTCAATTAATGTCTCAGAAGTTACTCGTGATTTAATCTTCGCTCGGATATAACACTGATCATGTTACAATAAGAACTATTAGTTTTTTATTGATATGAATTTGAGTGTATAAGTGGGATTTGCTTATGAATACCAATGAGTACATTGTGAACTGAATGTCACACGTACCTAGAAACATACTGTATATAACAGTGGGTCATTTTACTATCTTCATCTAATGAAGTTCACATTTATTAAAAGGTAATGGAAAATCCACAGCAAACATAAAAGTTTCAATAGTTGAGATCATGAATCCACTGAAACTCAACCACCATAGAAAACGTGGAAGCACTAGACGGCCGTTTCGTCATACTATGGGACTCCTAAGAAGTGAGCCTCCACAACCCCGCCTCGCAGGATATGAACCCAACACCTATCGGTATCATGATCTCAGCTATTGAAATTACTACAATCTCCACAAAACCCTTTCTGATACTAAACATCAAAGTATTAATTTTGAATAAAATAACACACTTTCATCCTAGATTAATCCGCTGATTTCTCATCATTTAGATTTTATTTCAGTAATTATACAAATTACGTACACTTTATCGTTGATTGAGGTCAACAAATAGCTAAACTAATTATAATCATGCATCTTACAAATTGAGTAGTCTAGGAACCTTATCGTTTTGGATTTGATCTATATTTCTAAAAAGAAACTAGAAGTAATTTATGTTCATCTTTAAATATCTACGTAATAAAGTAATTAAGTAATATATTTAAAAGAATAAAAGAAATTAGTTTAAATGAAGGAAATTCTGTTGGAATATTTTTGGTCTCTAAGTTGAATAGTTTGGTTATCAAGCGTTCATTATTATTCTAGGTAAAATAATCGCCAAGTGCGTCAAAGAGAAGTAAACTGTACTTATTTCTCTATCAATCATTAACAGCTTGTTGTGTTGAAATAAAGTTTGGGGGCTCTTATCCATAACTCTACGGTGATCGTTTGTATATTTGTTTCGATTTTCTTCTCTCATGATCTGAACTATGAGTTTCCAATTGTTAATCCTTTATCTAATCGGTTTATAGATTTAGTTGATTTTGTTGTGTTTAGTGATTGATGCTTGATTTGATTTACAGGTTTCTAACCGTCCTCCGTTTTTCTTTGTGTTCCATCTATCCAATATTTATAGGTTTTCACAATCGAACTCATGTTCACGGTTATTCACGTGCATTAAAAAGAAAACGAGGTTATGTATTGTAATTTAACAGCTGACTGGTGTTCATGCAGTCGTAGACAAAGATAACGGCTACTTCGGAGATTTTTTAAAATGTTCTTCATGAGTGTACACTTCTTATTTATGATTTCAAACTGAGGCGAAAAAATCATCTAATGATTCAGTACTTTTTTTGCTAATTTATTGGCTGATACCAGCTCCATGATGAAAAACGATAAAGTTCATCATTTAGTAAATATTTTTGATATTATTTAACTTACAGCCGGTGTCAGTGTTTCCAGAGCTTTTAATGCCGATTCTAATATCGGTATTGCTTCAGCCAAATCATTATCACATTCTTCTTTCATTGTTTCAGCAGCTTTTGCTTGTTCACCAGCAACCGCTTCATCAACACGTACAAGTTTTTCCTGTTTAGCTGCTTCAGCACTTTGCTGCTCAACAACAATCATAACTTCATCAACTTCTTTACTAGCTTGTACAAGTTTTGGTTGAAGTGATTGTAATTCCACTGACATCAAACTAATCTCATTAGCTGCACTACTTAATTTTTCCAGACCAACTTCATAACGACTTTTTTGAGTTAATACTTCCCTTGACGAAGGAAATAACAAAATGAAATAGTAAATGTCTGAAATAATCCAAAGATTTACATCTCAAAAAAATAATTATGCTATAGAGATGTATGACATTTATATGAATAATCAATGATCACTTGATAGGCGTCTAATTCGTAACCCATTACACCTATTTGGTTTTACTAGACTATGATAATTAAACGTCACACAATAGGTGTAACCTAGTTATTGAATCCGGAGTATTATAATATTATTCAATATTAATATTTGTTTTAGACTGTTTTCTATAATAATATCAATCTTAATAAATGGTTAACATTAGAAATGAGATTTCTAATTTGGTAGTGCACTAATTTTGACATTATTTACATAAGCAAATATTCTTTTTATTAAGTCATTACTGAAAGTAATTATCAGTATGGGGTTGTGGAGATTAGGAAGTTTTTGATTGAGATTATAGATCGTCCAATGTTAGACCACCATTGAAAACTTGGAAGCACTAGACAACCATTTCGTCTAAGTGTGGGACTCCACAGCAGAGCTTATCCACGATCCTGTACGTGGTATTGGGACATGCAGTCTCGCACGCGAATACTGCTAGGACGAAACGGCCATCCAGTGCTTTCAGTTCTCAATGGTGGTCTAACACTGAATGATCTATGATCTCAATCAAAAACTCCATAATCTCCACAACCCCATACTGATAATTACTTTCAGTAATAACTTAATAAAAAGAATATTTGCTTATGTAAGAAGTAGTCATCAGAATGAACAAAGTATGGGATCAATTTTGAAATCTTATTTCTACTGTTCTAAAAGCCAATATATATTGTTTATTGAATTCTACAGAAATTTTAACGTGAACTTTGAACTATCATCATAATGCAATTCTTGGTACCACACATTAGTTTATTTAAATCTGTATGTACCAACTAATTTTGAAGTTGATAAAACATACTTTTTGACTTCAGATTCATTTCAATCAAACGTTCGGATAAGTTTAAAACTATTATCTCTGGTAAAGTTATTGCATTACATTTAGTGATTAAGTGATCATAATTTTGTATTGATTGTTGCAAAATAAACTTGATTTATTTAGATGAATTGGAAGATGATTGAAATTTGTGATCACAGTGGACAAATTAACCTTTAAATCTATTCTAATCTAAATGTTTCAGTCAACAAAAAGCCTTCCTGTTTCAAAGTTGGTCAGTCATATTCAAGTTAAAAATTGGCTTATATGTATATTGGTTTAAATTACCACATCATATCAGCACAGCGAGATACCAGAGTAGTAGAAGTAGTGAAAGTATCAGTAATGTTAGAAAGCATTACGGATAGACAATATAATTCAAGAGGAAAATATGAATTCGTGGAATTTAAACGTATAAGATAAATTTGAAATTAAAGATTCAAGAGAAGACAAAGAGTGGATACATCTGCTTCTTTTAACTAGCAAATATGGAGCGTATTGTCCAAAGTCTTTAGGCATTGGCTAAGACTTTAGATAGATAATCTTCACTTACAAATATGATTTAGTCCAACGGTCAATATATTCATGGACCTATGACACATCTTGATTTGACCACCATTACACAAAATGTGATTCATAGAAAAAATTAACGTAAGTAAAATAATAAACGGTCAATTTTTAAATGTGACATTATCTATCAACTAGAGTAGTTTACAAAGATAATTCATATATTCAAGAGTGCTATTATCAATCAAACTACTCTGTTACATCAAATCAATTAGTTTCATCAAATATAATACTTATACTTTATACAAAACAAGAAAAAAAGAAAAAAAACAATGAAATATCAAAATGCTTTTAGTAAATATATATCGTACAGAATTCCTATGATGGATTAAACTGCAAAATCGTGCATGGAGGACAGCTGACAGACTCGTTCAAAGTAAAGACTGGTGTCAGACAAGGTTGCTCACTCTCACCCTTTCTCTTGGTGATCGACTGGATCATGAAGACATCAACATTCGGGTGGAAGAATGGGATACAGTGGACAGCTAGAATGCAGCTAGACGACCTAGACTTCGCAGATGATCTGGCCCGCTTATCGCAAACGAAACAAGAAATGCAGGAGAAGACGACCAGTGTGGCAGCAGCTTCAGCAACAGTAGGTCTCAATATACACAAAGGGAAAAGCAAGATTCTTTAATAAAACACAGCATGCACCAATCCAATCACAATTGACGGAGAAGATTTGGAAGATGTGAAAACCTTTACACATTTGAGCAGCATCATTGATGAACACGGTGGATCTGATGTAGATGTGAAGGCGCGAATCGGTAAAGCAAGAGCAGCAACTGAAGAACATCTGGAACTCAAAGCAACTGTCAACCAACATCAAGGTCAGGATTTTCAATACAAATGTCAAGACAGTTCTACTGTATGGGGCAGAAACCTGGAGAACTACGAATGTCATCATCAGGTGTTTATTAACAGTTGTCTACTCAAAATACTTCGGATCCGTTGGCTGGACACTATTAGTAACAACCTACTGTGGGAGAGAACAAACCAGATCCCGGCGGAGGAAGAAATGAGGAAGAAGCGCTGTAAGTGGATTTATTTATTTATTTATCTATTTATTTATTATTATTAGCTTTATTCAATATTATACTATTGGTACAATATAGAATTCTCAGCACAAAGTATTTCAACAAGTTTCCGTTTCTTTCTTCTTGGTCGGTCCGCGCGATAAATACTGAGTGATCGCCAGCTAGATGTTAACAGTCCAGTAAATGAATATCTGAATAATGCACTCTTTTCGTTGTATATTGCCAGCAACAATATTCTCTTTTTGAGCTTTTTGTAATTTGACAACGAAGGTTGTACACTTTTAGAAACGCAGCAGAAGGTTGTGCGATTAATAGACATAATGATATATTAAACAAACAAAGATAGATAACTTGTCGAAATATCTAGATGGCAGGAACAGGTAGCCAGATGCTCAAGCAGGCCGCCTTGTTACATTGAAGAAAGCACCCAACTGTGTCACAAGACAAGCCCTCACATAGAATCCTGAAGGCCAAAGGAAAAGAGGGAGACCAAAGAACACATTACGCCGGGAAATGGAGATAGACATGAGAAAAATGAACAAGAATTGGATGGAACTAGAAAAGAAGGCCTAGGACAGAGTGGGTTAGAGAATGCTGGTCGTCGGCCTATGCTCTTTTGGGAGCAACAGGCGTAAGTAAGTAAGTAAATAAAGTTGATTATTAGAAGGTATAAACTCAACAATTTGAATGTACTTATAAATGAATAAAGCAAGTAAATTACGATGAATTTGAACACTATAAACTGAACCTGTAAATTGATAACTTGAACTACAAACTTCAAGTTACATAATTTTACATTTCAACAAGAAAAAAACAACAAAACTACATAACTTACGTTCGTTTTTTTGATAATAATGTTATAAAAGTTGTAATTAATTCAAGATATGATGTAGGTGTTACATAATTGTGTCGATCTAATTCTAATAGAAATCGAGTTGATAGATTACATGTACTAGTATGAAAATATTTACATAAATCAATACATCCATTACGAATTTCATCTGTCATATCAATATCTTTTAATGAACGTGTAGCAACAGCTGTTAAAGCATCTTCTGGCCATGCCTTGTAATTTATTGTAAAGAAACAAATTCATAATAATAATGAATAAAGTTTAAAGAAAAATATTAATTTATGATTTTTTTATGTAATCAATGATCAACATTAAGTACGGGTTTGCTATTTCTACATTAAAATTGATTCCTAACATGGAAGTAAAATGGTTTCATGCATACATCTTAATGGAACAAAGAAGTTATTGGAATTGGAGTATTACTTGAAGTTTATAATATCTGATATGCTTTAAATAAAATAATAAATAGGCAGTGAATAATCTATTGAATAACTAATTCGTCATTTGAGGTGATGGGCACTAGGTAGAATTTCAGTGAAATGAGAAACATTAAGATGAAATTACATCTATTGCAATTGTTTCACAAAGGATGAAAAATGTACCTAGGATTCTACCTCTTGTTAATATGTGAAGTTGAACCGACTCATAAGTGCATCTAATATAGACGCATTCAGTGAAAGAGGGTGTTTACCTGAAAGGAAACTAACCAATTTAGTTCAGAATATTAACGATAGGAAAGTGTTGACTATTTCAAAAAACCATTTTTTATTTAGAGTAGATGGATCATGGCTAGTAATAGAACTCAGGACGTACGTTTCCGCCTACTTGGGATACATTAGTTGAATGAAGTCGCAGAACAGTGTTGATATTCATATCCAGACTCGAGTCCAGTACCTTCCTCTTCAAACGACACTGCCTTATCCACTAATCTCTGTGGGTTTGATGTTTTATCATGGTTAGTTTTCGTTCTTACTGTTAACCACAAATCATCTATTCTAAATATTTTGTGACGTAATGGGTATATTGAGGGAATCTACACAGGATCCACAAAAAACAATAAAGATTACTCAAACCTTAACTAACAATGATATAATGATTAACTTAGTTTGGAAAATAATGACCATTCTCTAATACAAGTTGAATAAACAATCATCTAACAACTTTATCTCAGCATACAAATCTATTTATATTAATATCAATTTCCATCCAAATATTTCTAGTAAATCTAAATTTTGGCTTAGAATACTTGGTAAATTGCTGAATAAAAGTATGGTAGAATTAAGTTGATATAGAACTTAAATACAGTCATTTCAATACTTTAATTATCTTTGTAACATCGTTTGGCTACATAAATAGTTTTGATTAATTCTTTAGTTAAACAGCCGTTGAAAACATGGGAGCACAGACATCTGTTTCGTCTTATTATGGAACCCCTCAAAAGCGTGTATCCACAACCGGGTAGCGAAACCAGGACCTTAAAGCCTAACAAAGACAGCTTAACCTTCAAACTACCGAGTTGACAATCAATGTTTTGTATATCTAACTTCAGATGGCTCACTGTATCGTGTGGCCAATTGCTTCAAGCTTGATATGACTGACCGTGGTCATAGCTTACCATTATTACTCTGAGAGTTATCTCTAGAAGTTAGTCACTAGAGGGGACTTAATGATTTTTCACCACCGATTCTGATTGAAATAAACTAAAACATATTTCTTACAAAAAAACATATCATGACTGATTACCGAATATGGTACAAAAATCAAACTGCTAAACGAAACTAAAATTATTTTCAACTGTCTGGATCAACGATTAAGAAACGACTATTTGGTCTTTTGTGATCTTTGATATAATTTCTCCATCATAATATTTATTTCTGAATGGAACTAGTAATGTAATTAGTCAAAATCGATAAAACAATTTTCATACATTTCTAACTAGATGAAGAGACGATATGCCCGAGAATCTTGACTGAAAGTAGCCAAGGGAACTGATCCAACTGAAATGGATGGTGACTGAGACATATCATCAGTTAACTGAAATCAGAAAATGTTAGAGTACTAGTTTTTCTTAGTCAGTTGTTTACCGTTAACATACGTTCAACAATAAGTTTTAAACCAGCTGAATATCATCCGAGAATGGATCGATGAAATTTATTCCTTAAGAGTCCGAAATTAGGACAAAATATCTTTAATGCTTTCGCATTTTCAATAGTCATATAAATATTGTCGATTAATAATAAAACTTTCTGTAGAATAGATGGATTGTGGTTTCTAGTGACATCCAGGACGCAAGTTTCAATTTGTTTGGGACTCGTCACTTGTAAATTAGTTTTCCTTTACTAAACTAATTGAAATAAGATTAAGGTTAGTTGTTCTAACATGTTCTAATAGTAATATTCATTTTACGAACTATTTGATTCTAATTAAAGATCTTTACAATGATCAACGTAATGAATGACTGTTTTTTGTACATAATCTTATATAGTAGTTACATAAACTCAAATGAAATAACAAGTAAGTCAATCACACAATTTAACTAATGAATAGAGGTTGAATTGAGTATTATTTCTCTCATAGCTTTCATTATCATTCTATTCATGTCGCGTAGATTAGTGGTTTAATTTAATTTTTTCCTAATCAGTCAGTACCTAATTATTGTATAGTACAATTCGCATAAAACATTTACTCATCATTAATTACTAAAAAGAATAATTAGTAGTTTGAATGACAGTGATAATTGTGATCAATTCACTGATGTTATCTTTCTAAATATTCATTCAGCCCGACAGTCTTTACATACACTTTACTGATGCTTAACAACGAATCTGAAACGTAGATCGAAAGGTTTCTGTCAACTAACTTTTATATCATGTATACAAACGACTAACTCCGCCTGTAGCTCTAATAGGGTTACTGCCGGTCCCAAGCCCGGGTAAAGGAGGAGGGTTGGGCATGGGGTTAGCGTCCCCATCCCGTAGAAAACTAACTCGCTAAAAAAACGCTTACCAGAAAAAATTATTCAAACCATTTAAACTCTGCCCTGGGAGTTAGAAGGTCTTCAGTTAGAAGAATTATGACGCTTCATGGTGAAAGCCGAGTTCCTTCGGAAGCCACGAGGCCGATGCCCCTTCTAACAACCAGAGCAAAAATTTTTATAGGTACATGGAACGTTCGAACAATGTGGGAAACCGGGAAGACCAGTCAAATAGCAATGGAAATGAGGAGATACAACTTAGCAGTACTGGGAATCAGCGAAACCCACTGGACCCAAGCTGGACAGAAAAGGCTAGCTACGGGAGAGATGCTGCTATACTCCGGTCACGAGGAGGACAATGCTCCACACACTCAGGGAGTCGCTCTTATGCTGTCCAAAGTAGCACGAAATGCACTTGTAGGATGGGAGTCTCACGGATCCAGAATCATCAAAGCATCATTCAAAACAAAGAAGGAGGGGATCTTAATGAATATTATCCAATGTTATGCACCCACCAATGATAGCAACGACGACATTAAAGATCAGTTCTACGAGCGGCTGCAGTCAATCATTGAGAAATGCCAAGAAAGGACCTAACTATTCTGATGGGAGATCTAAATGCCAAAGTCGGAATAGACAACACTGGATATGAAGATATTATGGGACGACATGGACTGGGAGAAAGAAACGAAAATGGAGAAAGATTTGCAAATCTATGTGCATTCAACAAATTGGTCATAGGAGGCACAATATTTCCACACAAGCGTATACACAAGGCTACATGGATCTCACCGGACCACACTACAGAGAACCAAATAGATCATATTTGCATCAACAAAAAATTCCGAAGGACAATGGAAGATGTGAGAACCAGGAGAGGTGCTGACGTAGCTTCAGATCACCACCTAGTTGTAGCCAATTTAAAACTGAAGCTAAAAAAGAACTGGACAAGTGGACAAACAGCACTACAAAGGTTCAATACAGCCTTCCTTCGAGATACTGACAAACTCAATGAATTCAAGATAGCTCTCAACAACAGGTTCCAAGCCTTACAAGATCTACTGAAAGAAGAAGAAACTACTATGGAGGACAACTGGAAAGGCATCAAGGAAGCATTAACTTCAACGTGTCAAGAGGTTCTGGGCCTAAAGAAACACCATCATAAGGAATGGATCTCTATAGAAACACTGGACAAGATCAAAGAAAGGAAGAACAAGAAGGCAGCAATTAACAACAGCCGAACACGAGCAGAGAAAGTCCAAGCACAAGCTGAATACATAGAAGCAAACAAACAAGTGAAGAGGAGCATTAGAGCCGACAAGAAGAAATACGTGGAAGAACTAGCAACGACGGCAGAAAAAGCTGCTAGAGAAGGAAATATGAAACAGCTTCACGATACAACGAAGAAACTAGCAGGGAAATACAGTAAACCAGAGAGGCCGGTCAAAGACAAAGAAGGCAAGCCAATCACCGAAATTCAACAACAGCGTAACAGATGGGTGGAATACTTCGAGGAACTCCTGAATAGGCCGGCTCCAATGAATCCACCGGACATCGAAGCAGCACACATAGATCTTCCTATAGATGTCAACCCACCAACGACGGAAGAAATTAGAATGGCCGTCAGACAAATCAAGAACGGGAAAGCAGCAGGACCCGACAACATACCAGCTGAAGCACTGAAATCAGACATCGAAGCAACCACAAGCATGCTTACCTTCTATTCAAAAAGATTTGGGAGGAGGAACAAGTGCCGATGGACTGGAAAGAAGGACACCTCGTCAAGATTCCAAAGAAAGGAGATCTGAGCAAATGTGAAAACTACAGAGGCATTACACTACTGTCAATACCAGGGAAAGTCTTCAACAGAGTGTTGCTGAACCGGATGAAGGATGCAGTAGACGCCCAACTTCGAGATCAACAAGCTGGATTCCGTAAGGATCGGTCGTGCACAGACCAAATTGCAACACTACGGATCATCGTCGAACAATCAGTTGAGTGGAACTCATCACTATACATCAACTTCATTGATTATGAAAAGGCATTCGACAGTGTAGATAGGAGGACATTATGGAAACTTCTTCGACACTACGGAGTTCCTGAGAAGATTGTCAACATTATCCGGAACTCATACGACGGACTACAGTGCAAAGTAGTGCATGGAGGACAGCTGACAGATGCATTCCAAGTAAGGACTGGAGTCAGACAAGGCTGTTTACTCTCTCCCTTCCTCTTTCTTCTGGTGGTCGACTGGATTATGAAGACCTCGACATCTGAAGGAAAACACGGAATACAATGGACAACTCAGAATCAATTAGACGATTTGGACTTCGCAGACGACCTAGCCCTCCTATCACGTACACACGAACAGATGCAGATGAAGACAGCCAGTGTAGCAGCAGTCTCTGCATCAGTAGGCCTCAGCATACACAAAGGGAAAACCAAGGTCCTCAAATTCAAACGGAGAACAGCAATCCAATCACTCTTGATGGCGAAACTCTGGAAGATGTAGAGTCCTTCACATACCTAGGAAGCATCATCGATGAACAAGGAGGTTCAGATGCAGACGTAAAGGCGAGGATCGGCAAAGCAAGGGTCGCATTCCTACAATTGAAGAACATATGGAACTCAAAACAACTTTCAACCAATATCAAAGTGAGAATCTTCAATACGAACGTCAAGGCAGTTCTACTGTATGGAGCTGAAACTTGGAGAACTACAACAACCACAATCAAGAAAGTACAAGTATTTATAAATAGCTGTCTACGCAAGATACTCAACATCCACTGGCCGGATACCATCAGCAATAGCCTTCTGTGGGAGAGAACAAACCAACTTCCAGCTGAAGAAGAAATTAGGAAAAGACGATGGAAATGGATAGGACATACATTACGCAAATCGTCAAACTGCATCACGAGGCAAGCCCTAACTTGGAACCCTGAAGGGAAGCGAAAAAGAGGAAGGCCAAAGAACACATTGCGTCGGATTATAGAAGCAGATATGAAAAGGATGAATTACAACTGGACGGAGCTAGAAAGGATTGCCCAGGACAGGGTTGGATGGAGAATGCTGGTGAGTGGCCTATGCTCCTTCACGAGGAGTAACAGGCGCAAGTAAGTAAGTAAGTAAGTAAGAATTATTTCGTAGAAAGGAAGGTATGAAGTGATTTTAATCTCATAGTTTAAGTGTATACACCTAATTATAGCAATAATAATAACTACAATTATAATTTACCTGAAACCAATCAATTGTACAACAATTAACTAATGAAGGAAATTTTCTTAAACGATTTCTAAATGAATCACCAATTGGACTTAATGCTAATACAATATGTAATTGTTCACGAACACGTTGTATAAAATAATTAAATAATGCTACTGGTGAACCATCTGTTTGTTTATTTCTATCTCTTGCTCTATCAATTTGACGTATTTTTTCACATAATTCCATTTTTTCATCAATTGCATAAAGATTAGGTACTTCACCAGCATTTAATAAATTATTTATATCTTCTAGAAAACTTTCTTGTTTAATTTGTGTATCAGTAAATAAGAAAATAGCATGATTATCAGTTTCACTTGATTTTCTTAATATATGCTTTAAATCTTCTTTCCATTCATTAACACCATAACTTTTAGAGATTTCAACCTGTAAAATAATTGGGGAAATAGATTGTAACTTTCGATAACTACAAAAAAAAACGATGAGACTATAATTAATGGATGACAGTTGAGCGACGCTAAAGTGACCTGGATAGTGTCCATTCACAAACTAAAATAAATGAGGTTATAAACCAGTTTAAGGAATCAGAATTGTGATTTACAGTTGATAGTTAAGGTTAGGAATTAGATCTAGGGTTTTCATCACGAACTGACATCAGCTATAATATCAAACCTCTATTTAGAGAGATGGATGGGAAATTTCGCACCATAATCCGAGACCTGTTTTCTTATATCCGATTGCTTCGTCCATAAACTATAGTCTCGCCAAAAAAAACTATTGATTTAATAATTATAATTAATTTGCATTAGAACATATTTCAGAAATAACTTATCAGATGTGTCCTGAAAAATTGATGTAACTTGATCAATTAATGTTGGGGGTGCTAGAGCCTTAGAATTCATTTGGTAAACATCTTATTTTTGTAATTTTATTATGAAAATTTGAACTTCTCGTTTTCGCGCTAAAAGTGCTCATTTTTGCCTTCAGATTGTATTTTGCACTTGGAAGGAGCCTAAATGTGATTGATTGGGTGCCTCTTTTCATATGCTGATTTGTGATGTTTTCCAAGGACATTTTTATGCTGTTTAAATACGCTGGAGCTGTGAGCTTGTTGTTTTTTGTGCTTTTGGTTGCTTGTGAAATATATTTTCCTTCATCCGAACCTGGATTTCTCCCTCTAGTTAACGAGGATGAGACTTATTGAAATAGTTTTAGCTGTCTTGTCGTTGTATCGCTGATCCTTCGTTCCGTTCTCTGATTTTTAAGTGATCTCATAATCTTTTCAAATATAGCAATTAGTTTCAATGATAAGGCAGTTATAAAAAATAATTATCAAAGTAGCTAAATAGTGAATAACTGATCATCATTGTACTTCACTTTAATATGCTTACTTCTTTTTGTAAGTGAACGTGAACTGGGTAGTTCCAACTATTTCAGAATACTTTTATTAAATAGAAAAAGTGTACATGTGAGACACCTAACAAGATTATTTACTGAATAAAGTCTTTTAATGACGAATAAATCTGTCAAAATAAACAAGTTAGATTTATCAGTTATTTCAGTGTATTTTTTTAACTTCAGTGGGCATCAATATAGAATACTTAAAAAAAAATTAATTTTATCTTTGCGGGCCAGAGTAAAGTATGGAAAAATGAGTTAAATTCAAAACTAATGAGCTTGAACGAAACACTGACATTCAAAGAATGGTGATATATGGTAGAACACCCTAACAACAAAACAATATCAGCTTGTATACCTAATTAAACATTAGTAAAGGAACTATTTCAAAAACTAATTTAATTTTCACCTACATAAATAATCACTTAGTTGAATGTTTTTGCTTCATCGGTTGAACTGCATTTGGTAATTTCAACCAAACTAAGGAGTAAAGCAATGTGGTTTAATATGACCTATATTTTAAACTTAGATTTTGATTATAATCTGCCTTAAGTTAAGCTGAATGAATTTTAAATAAACTTATACGATAACCTTCTCTCCCGAAACGATTTTAATCTAGCCTACAGCCACTGGGAAAACAAAAGCAGCCAGGAGTTTTATTACTATTTCGACAATAACAAAGGACCAAACGAAACATCATAACATTCGTTAACAGCCCGTCATAAATCCATGTTCATAATGCTTTTCTATACAACTAGTAGCGATCAAAATAGCTCAATAATAGTATCAGCTAGACTGGTATGTAATACAACCTGAAGTTAGGAGAATATACATTATTTAAGAGATATTCACATCTTCACAAGAGTGATTAACATTAATCTTTCTACCTATAGAATTATAGTGAATATTAAGTACAGTCTATGAAATTGAACAGTAAGCGGCAGCATCCATATAAATGGTTAAATGATTACGAAACTGTCCCAATGGTATACACATTTTACGGCTTTTTGTACAAAATCCTAATATTTTATTACACAATGATGAGACGGTTATCCATCTCATTGATAATTAATTTAACATATAAATAGAATTGTTGCAAAGAAATTCTTTGTTAGTACAAATTTCTTGGAGTGCCCATATACACAGCTTAAGTGATATTCAACGTACTTGGAATAAGTCAAAATCTGATAGATGAGCAGCTAATCGAGTAAGTGATTGACGTCCTGATCCTCCGATACCAACAAGTAATGCATGCGATCTTGGTTGTTTTAATATACGTGCAATACGACATACATGTTCTATAGCAAAGCGAAATAGAACTAAATTCATAGGTTTCTTGCTTAACTGATTATATTCTTCTAAGTAAGCTTCAGTTACTTTACGTAATTGTTCAACATCATTGACTTCAGCATAATTACGTTTTCCCTTAGGATCAGCAAAATCACAGAACATAAGCGATCGAAGATGATCTTCTGTAACCTAAATGAATTATATGAGCGAAAGAGAAACACTATTCAAAGCAGTCCGTCATTTAAAATAGAAGAAACACAGTAAAGATTAAGCATAAATTACATCGTGAAAAGATTGATACTTTCAAAAACCTTCCTTCTTAGCAAGTGATCTATATAATAGGGTCATAAAAGAATTTTATAGTAAAACTGTTGAACAGAAGATATCCTAAGCTAAATATGACAGTGTTTAAATGGAATGTAACTGTTTTAAACAACACGAAGCTTTTAAATGTTTAGTAAATTAAATTGTGGAAAATATCTTCATTTGAATCCCTAGTTTCATGTCTCTAGAAAAGTAAATTATTAATTTGTTGTTCGCGTACATCGTTAGATTATGGCTTGATACAACAGGCTAGTAGATGAATTTGAAAACACTAAAGTTCATCAAAGAATTTCGCGTTTCAAAGGTAAGTTAGTTGACGAATCTGCGACTAAATGCAAGATCTGTAAATCTTTACACACAGTGTTGAGCAAATTAACAGCAATGTGAAGAGTTGAGACATGATAGTTAGACAAAAAAAGTCATTGAATTTTGAGGTCAGTTATTTTCCTTAAATTAAGAAGTGATGGATTTCTGGTTCTTGCATCTTCTAGAGTATACACACTGTTTTCATTGTGAAGAAAGGTAAATTACTATGGTTCAAGATAACCTGTTCTTCAACAGAGTATGAAAAAATTCCACTCTCAACTATGTTTCTTCAGTTTTCCCTAAAGTTTTATCCTCCTTGCTACTTCTGGAATGATGCGTTTATTTACTGAGTTTTAGTTTGAATCAGACTAATGATAAAGTGTTCATAATCAGTTATTTGTTATCCTGGCACTGAAAATCCTACACTTTCATCTGAACATATAAAATATGATGCCAAATCTTTAGTTAAAAGAGAAGACTACTGATAATACTGTGGTATCAAGATTTAAATGAAATTTGAATCACAATATGACAAATTTCGTATTCACCAAACAAATTAGATAAATCAAATATTATTGACAAAGAGATTCTGTGGGGACCAACTTAATTTATCAGTGGTTTCTGGCACAGGTTAACCTCAATTGAGGTACAATTAAAAGCCAGGGATCACTGAGCATCCGTTTTTTCTTCGCATAAAATCGCTCATCGGTGTGCATCAATGACTAGCTAGGGGCCGAACCCAGTATCCTCAAGTCTTGAGGTATGCATTTAACTATTAGACCGACGGTACATATTTCATGATGTTGGAATGAAGATTATACATTGACACTGATGATAAATTTCACTCAAAACAAGTCTGAACTCTACTGGTAATGACTCAACACTCAAAATTCATGGACCCATCTCGAAGTAAGTCACTGGTGAGCAAACGATTATAGAACTTTTAAAGAGAGCAAGAACAAAGGTTAGTGCAGAATAATATGAATTCATTTATTTCGTTAGGTTCTCATCAGCTGCTTACAACCTAAAATATTTGAAATTCAACGTTATTATGGATATTGACATACTTATACAACAGAGGGCGATGAAGGAAGAATATATGTAACATAATGTAGTAAAGATTTCGTTAGAGTTAGTGAGGTCATAAAAATTTGTTTCGAATATATAGAGTTTGGGAGGGAGAGTTCCAGAAAATTGAGGTAGTGATTAGAAATCATGGAATTTTTTAAACTCCATACGGCGACGAAACAGCTTTCCAGCACCCCTTAATTTTTCAATGGGAACAACCAATAACAAATACTGCCTACAAGTTAAATCAAATATTTTCAAGACTCAAATAACAAAAATGTAAAGAAATACACTAAATTTTTCATTTATAACACATAATCAAGCATCTTTACCTCAGTTTCATTATCACCTGTTAAATGTTGAAATAATGTATTAAATTCTACATCCAAATGCGTTTTAACACATTGTCGTATAAAATTAAATAACCATTCACGATCAGCATCATCAACTAAACGATCATAATAAACACGAAATACTTCATGAACCCACAAACGTTTCATAGAGTCTAGTGTTTCCGCAGATTCAGGAACCGATAGTAAAATTCCTTGTATAACACGACTAAAATCACGTAAATTAAATAGATAATGAGATTTAGTGGGTGTTGGTAGCAGGTTTTGTAATGCAGCTTTATATACTTCAAGTGTGGCATTAACTATTTGTTCTGGTATTTTCTTATAATCCGGACTAAAACCTCTGTAATGAAAGATAGGAAGAAGTGTTATCATAGTTCATCATCATTTCATCATATCAATAACAAATATTAACTCGATAAAGTTGATATTTATAAGCATTATAGAATCTGTTGAACACACTAATAGAACTGATTCATTGTGATACAAAAATATTAATTGTTCGATGAAAGACTATCAAATTTAAATTTTCGGTTAGTCTTTATCATGTTCTCTATGATTAATTGTATTTTTTTCGTTTGGAAACGAAAGTGAACTCTGTCAAGAAGCAAATTTAGTTGTCTTTTATTAGTGAGATTAAGTAAATAAGTGTATCATATTGGTAAACACTTCCCTACTTGAAGTCTTATGTATTTTTTATGTTTTAACACCAACTGATTATTTCCTTCAATTAGTTTCATAGTCTTCATAGATGTCCTCTTAAAAGATAAAGAGTTATATGATATTGTAAAAAGATTTGGGAAGTAGAAAAAGAAAGAACGCTGTGATGAACTTCAAATATTCAAACAGTCTCGCTCTTTGGTTAAAACAGAGATTTTTCAGATTCAATATTATGATGAATTCCATAAGTTTTGTACTTACTTATTGAGGCCTACTGATTTCAAATAACACTATAAGAGGAGTATAAAATTAAAATACTCAACCGGTTGGTTTATCATTACAATATACCAAACGAAATATTCTAGGCCAATATTTTGTAAATTCTGTCTACTTAACCTCTTACATGATTTCAATTAATTCATTATAGACAGAATATACAGAGTATGACTGTGAAACGTTTACATCGAAAAGTAGGTAAATCGATTTTATCGGCCGTCAAAGTCCGACTGATATGCACAACTATTTATTATTATTATTATTAACCAAGATGGGTAGAGACTAGCAGCGGAACTCAGGGCGCGGTACTAGGTTCGAGTCACAGAGTTAACATCAAATCTAAGATGCAGGTACATCCAGTTGACGAGTTTCCAATAGGACGAAACGCGCGTCTTGAATTCCACTGCTAGCCACTATCCATCTCTGCTTATAATGCTTGTAAATTAAGGCTATGTCGAGGCAATACGCACGGTATGCACATATGCCAGTAAAAGACTAATCAATCGCAGTCCTAAACATCAACGGGAAACTTCAAGTAAACAATATTATGTGAATTTATTATTATTATTATTAGCTGACTACATAAGAAAGTTACGATTATTAGTAAATTTTTCCAGTGACTTTGGGAAAAAAAGCAATTATTTGACTCAACTTGTTTAATGCTGAATTGATGGAAAGATCCAATTTAAAATATCTTAGATTGTTTGGAATGAAATTTGTAAGAAATCAAACAGACTGAAGAGGGCTTCACAAGTTATTCAGCATATTTTGTTTATATGATAAGTCAGATACAAGTGAACGCGATTCAAGGATCTATTAGATTATCCACCTAGACTATAATTCATCATTGACACATAAACTATTTCAGCCATTTTGATCATGTATTAAATACTTATCATCTATTAAGATTATTCATTCAGTAAATTTGAGCTTCATACTTTGTTTTCTTTCTTGTTTTATCTATTTAGGTTGGTATAAAAAAACATTAAAGAATGATATGCTAGTGATTGAGGTAGACTCCATAGATCACATCATCCTACCACATTTTAATTTCAATAATTTCAATTAAAATCTTATAAATAAAAATCACAGCAAAACAATTTTCATCTTAGATGATGCTTTGTTAGTGTAAACAATGAAAATAGTTGGATTGGTGTCAATATAAGATGAATGAATATAAATAATCTTGTATTCTATGTATATTATCATTGAGGCTTACTTTACAGTGATATGCCAGTCCATAATTCTTGTAAATATTGTTTTCATTGTATGATCATCGAATTCGTTAACAGTTACAATATTTAAATGACGTAAAAATCTTGGAGTAATGACATTTCGTCCACCTCCTGGTGGGCCCATAGAACCAATGAAAAGTAAGTCAATCAATCGGATTGCTTCATTCGTTTTTAAATCATACCTTAATATTAACAATTAAATAAAATAATTCGTTATAAATAGTCTATATATTTGCGAAGATAATTCAAATTTGTAGATGATTAGAGTTCCCGGTTGATATGGGTTGTAAGATCATTGTGAATCAGAGAACCCTAAATAGCTATTAAGTCTCAGTTGGTAACTCCTCAGCAGTGTGCGCTTATGAACTGAGGCCTTTATAAACCTTTTTCTTATTATTTTGAGTCTGATATTTGCGATCGATATTTCCAAGTTCAGTCTGTTTGTGACATGAAGAGACAATCATCCAATGTAATTAGTGATTTCAGTCTTTCTACTGACTTAGCTAAACACTCAACGTCGTCACTTATTAGTTGAACTTTCAGAACCTATCACAAAATTAGTCTAAAGTCAGCATATCATCATTGTTTTATTTGTTGGTTTATTTTGAAGACAGACTTTCTCAAGGAATGACGTCAGCTGGAAAAGCAGTGAAAACTAGAGACTGCTGTTCTGAAATTTCAGTGCTCAGTAGTAAGAGTCCATTCCCATACGTAATTTGGACTGAACAGTACTATTAAGTAGATATTTCGAACCCACAAATAACGTAATTACATTATGGTTACAGTTAAAATGATGAACTACATACCAATTCCAATGATCCAACCACTGACGTAATAATTCAATCGGAGGCTGTGCACCATATGTTTCTCTTACTGGCATATTCAAGTCATCAACAAATACAATAATTTTTTTACCCATTGGCGGTCCAAATACACCTTTACGTCGACGATCTAATTTCGATAAAATAATATTCTGTGTTTGATTTGCACTAGTTTGTGCTGAAAAGTTCAACGTGTGCGGCTTATAGATGTCTTTTTCCACCTTATTCATGAGAAAATCCTATGATTGGTGAAGATAAACAAAAAATTAATCTTTTTTAACAAATACCGAACTATGAAGTAATATTAGTCCAAAAAATTATTCCGATAAACAGAGAGATATTCGGTAGTTATTTCTGTGTAATCTATTATTTTATTACATTGAGTTAACTTACAATTGATTGATAACTGAGTAATGACCAATGTTATGTATGTCAAGTGTTTTTCAGTGGTGATCGAATTCTGCCAATCGAATTGCACTGTGGCCACTAGCCTAAGTTACTTGACATCGTGTGCATTACGTTGAGATATAAGGTAGTGGTTAAAGATACTCAACAAGAAACCGTGGATTTAGGTTTCGAAATTTTTGGCACTTATAAGCAAGGTGTACCTGTAATACTGGGGAAACTGATGCTACCTGACGGATTTAATTCCATATCACCCAGACTCAATGTCATAGACGTTACTACTGAGCTATTCGAACTGCGAATAATTTCTCATGAGGATCCATTCCTCCAAAGAGCACCAGTTTCTTCAACGTTGCAGGTGTACCCTGCTGTTAAGACCCAAAGAGTAAGAAATTCCTATCCAGGGTCTCCTCCTGGGTAGCTCGAGCCACTAACTTGCAATAAGAAAACTGTAACTTAGGCGAAAAGAAACCATAGTACCGACCAAAATTTTTCATGCAAAGAACAGGAAAATGGTGTAATTTTGTAGCAGAGGTTGAAAGTAAATATCTATGAAAAATATGATTTGCTGAGAAGGCTTTCTATCAACATGCGAGATTAAAACTTATGATTCTATATAGGCTTCATTGTAGTCGTATTCATCATTTCTCGACATGAAAACAACAATGATTTAATTATGTAGTTGGTGTTGATGAAACGTTCTCTTGCACAGTCTAGAAGTTTACGGAAAGCGTAGATGATTAATTAACTCTATATTTAAACATAATATTAGAAGAGGTCAAATGATAAACATTAAAACAGCTTGTAAAATTTTATATAAAAATTAATGGCGAGACTATAATTTATGGACGAATCAATCAGATATAAGATAACGAGTCACGAATTTTGGCGCGAAATTCATTCATACATTTGGCTAAATAGAGTTTTGGCATTCTAGCTAATGTCAGTCCGCGATGAAAACTCTAAATTTAATTTTTAACCTTAACCATCAACTGTAAATGAGAATTCTAACTGCTTTATAACCCTCATTTAGTCCTAATCAGTAGGTGTCCACTCTCAAGGTCACCTCAGCGTCGCTCAAAGGTCGTCCATAAATTATAGTCTGACCAAATTCGTAAACTGTATTTTTATTTACTTTAGTTAAACTAAACTGATCTTCAAATAAATTAATTTATTTATAAAAAATAAAAAAAATAATATGTGATCAGAAATCAATTTTCTAAACAAGTTACTTTTTAGCACATTTGAAATGTCAATGAAATTGTTAGAACTTGTGGCCTTGTGCTCTGTCAATATACATAACGTAATGATACCGCCAATTAGAGAACAGTGAATTACTGACTGCACCAATGGAGCATAAAACCCGTACGAGCAATCTAGAGTCTATATCGGTTCTTCTTCTTAACTAGCCCTACCTGTTGAGTCCAGAACACCAATCTCAGCCTCTGAGATATGAATCATGTATTTCAAACATACTGGGTTTCTATTACCAACCAAATAGACCACATCACATCATAAAATAGAAAATAACATTTGTACGAGATTTAGCTAAATGTGGCTGTGAATATTGGAGATAATAATTAATAGACTGGGCATAACTCAAGAACGGAAAATCGTATAATAATAGTCTATAGATCAAAATAAAGCTTATAATAAGAGGTACATGAATAAACACAGTTCAGTTGCTTAACAATTATACAATAAAAATATATGTGTAGTATTATCACATAAATAGATCCCAACAGTTATCATTCATTATTCTCGTCGGCATATAACAGAAATAGATATTGTAATTTGAAACTGTAGCTAAAATGAAGATATTCGTAGTTACTTTTATTAATAATGACAAGCGATAACATCTGAGATCATCCCTAGTGTTTTCAATGTCTAGTAAATGTATTGTGTCCAGAGCCTTTGTCAATTTATTTGTTTATTTAGTCCGTAAGTGATACGTATGTTAGACTGTAATTTTAATAAGGAATTTCATCTCAATCCCTAACTCATGTTTTTCATTAGGCATGTTAAACTTTGTTATATGAATATTTTTATAACAAACAATTCAACATAACACAAGACGCTTGAAACAAAGTCATTAACAAAAACTACACTCCAGTATGCAGTACTCATCCACTAAATAAACGGGTAAATTATCGAAGATTCTAGATACAACACACACTGAACATTAAAAGTGTTGTAGATAACCTTAGAAATCCGGTGAAAATAATTTAGAAACAATTTGACAAATAAAAGTGACTTACCATTATATAACATGATTTCCCAGTACCAGTTGGACCGATAAATAATGATGGTTTACCATTTAAAATAAATAAATTTAGTAAATGATTACATCGAACAGTTTCTACTGTTGGAATGATTATTTCATTGAAACTGGCATCTTTAGGTATTGGTGGCGCTAAACGTACAGTCTCTGTCCACAACTCCCAGTTAATTGGGATCTTTATTCAAAAATAAGAATATTTAAAGTATGAGAACAGTTATCATTATCTTTTAGTTAATAAAATATGATTAAGTAAAAGCGATTTGTAGGATTTCTTAAAATTTGGAATTAATTCTGATTATGCACTAACATTAGAATTGTTGAAAATGAAAAAGTAATGTACTGCTAGTTTGTCCAAGTTTTGTATTTTCTTGTACTGAAGACTAACAACTTCACCAGGAGTGAACATTGCTGGTGAATAAGAAACTTTGATAAATTAGCTCGACAGTCTTTGTTCATTTCAAAATGATTTCCTAACTAATGTCAAGGCACGATCAAAACTATTATCAAAATTTATTATTAGTATATTTTATTCGATTAAATAAATAGTTATTTAGAAAATATTTTTATTACAGTTTCAATGTGCAAAGAAATTACTTGTACTTAGAATTGTTAGGATAGTCGGGAAAATATACCAATAATTATCGTGTTAAGTCTATGGTGTCCTTGGACCTTAAATGTACATTTCTTATTGGTCGATGTTTATTTCACTTGTTAAATATTTTGTAAATGTTGTTTCCTATTTTATGGTACGATGTGGTGTGCTTGATTGGTATATAAACAAAGTATGTCTGAAATACAACGATTCATAACTCAGAGGCTGTGACTTGCGTTCTTGACTCAACTGGCTAGGACAGACTGCGAAGCGGGACCAATCAGGGCACAAGGTCGTCCATACGTGTTTTCCGTGTCTACTGTAATCGATCGATATAAACGCTGTCTAGCATAACCTGCAGTCCCACACGCGTTACAACAGAAATGAGTAGTGAATTAAAAGAAAAGAAAATTCAATTGTAGTATAATCCATCCAGGTGTTACATATAAATATTGATTACGTGCTCTGTAATTCAAGGTAATAAATTCATGGGTAAATTAAAAGGTAGATTTCTCAGGTCAGCGACTGTTCGGATGCTTAGAATTTTAAAATACTTTTTCCTGGAAATTCCTCCCTATATATGATGGGATCAATTAGCTGAAAAGTAGTCCGCTCTGTTCTATTTATGGGGATAAGAAACGTGATTTTGAAAGCAGAGAATATTCGTAAATCAAACACTAATTTCTTCGTAAGATTTCTCACGCTTACTGGAAATATCGAGTGAGTAGTGCTGGGATTAACTCCGCTTGAAGCCCCCCAAGGGGCTACTTTCGGTCCCAAGCCCGGTTAAAGAAGGAGGGTTGGGCATGGGGTTAGCGTCCCCATCCCGTAGAAAACTAACTCGCTAAAAAAACGCTAGCCAGAAAAAAGTATTCGACACTTAAACCCTACCCTGGCAGTCAGAAGGCCTTCATTTAGAAGAGTTATGACGCCTCATGATGAAAGCCGAGTTCCTTCGGAAGTCACAAGGCCGATGCTCCTTCTGACAACCAGCGCAACCATTTATTTAGGTACATGGAATACTCGTACAATGTGGGAGACCGGGAGAGTCTTTCAAATTTCTGCAGAAATGAGGAGATACAACCTAGAAGTGCTTGGGATCAGTGAAACACGTTAGACACAAGCTGGACAACAACGACTAGCTTCAGGGGAGCTTCTGTCATACTCCGGCCATGATAAAGAAAATGCCCCACATACACAAGGAGTTGCATTGATGCTGTCCAAACAAGTACAAAATGCACTTATAGGATGGGAATCTCATGGACCAAGGATCATCAAAGCCTCCTTCAAAACAAAGAAAGAGGGTATTTCAATGAACATCATCCAATGCTATGCGCCTACCAACGACTACAATGAAGACGCTAAAGATCAATTCTACGATAGGCTGCAGTCAATCATCGAGAAGTGCCCAACAAAGGACCTGACCATTCTGATGGGAGATTTCAATGCCAAGGTTGGAACGGACAACACTGGATATGAAGACATCATGGGACGACATGGACTGGGAGAAAGGAACGAAAATGGTGAGAGATTTGCAAACCTATGTGCCTTCAATAAACTGGTCATAGGCGGCACTATATTCCCACATAAACGCATACACAAAACCACATGGACTTCACCGGATCACACCACGCAAAACCAAATCGACCATATCTGCATCAACAAAAAGTTCAGGAGGACGATGGAGGGTGTGAGAACCAAGAGAGGAGCTGATATAGCATCAGATCATCACTTGCTGGTTGCCAAGATGAAATTGAAACTCAAGAAGCACTGGACAATGGGGCGGACAACATCACAAAAGTTCAATACGGCCTTTCTTCAGGATACTGACAAACTCAACAAATTCAAGATAGTCCTCAGCAACAAGTTCCAGGCCTTTCATGATCTACTCAATGGAGAAGGAACTACTATGGAGAGCAACTGGAAGGGGATCAAAGAGGCAATCACTTCAACATGTCATGAGGTCCTGGGTCACAAGAAGCACCATCACAAGGAATGGATCACTGTTGATACACTGGATAAGATTCAAGAAAGGAGGAACAAGAAGCAGCAATCAATACCAGTCGAACAAGAGCAGAAAAAGCCAAGGCACAAGCTGAATACACAGAAGTAAACAAACAAGTGAAGAGGAGCATCAGAACCGACAAACGTAAATATGTGGAAGATTTAGCAACGACGGCGGAAAAGGCTGCAAGAGAAGGAAACATGAGACAACTGTATGACATAACAAAGAAACTCTCTGGAAATCGCCGCAAACCAGAACGACCAGTGAAAAGCAAGGAAGGCGAGGTAATCACCAACATTGAAGAACAACAAAACAGGTGGGTAGAACACTTCAAAGAACTCTTGAATCGACCAGCTCCACTGAACCCACCCAACATCGAAGCAGCACCCACGGACCTCCCAATCAATGTTGGCCCACCAACAATTGAAGAAATCAGCATGGCCATCAGACAAATCAAGAGTGGCAAAGCAGCAGGACCAGACAACATTCCAGCAGAGGCACTAAAAGCAGACGTAGCGGCAACTGCAAGGATACTCCACATTCTCTTCAATAAGATTTGGGATGAGGAACAAGTACCAACAAACTGGAAAGAAGGACTTCTGATCAAAATACCGAAGAAAGGCGATCTCAGCAACTGTGATAACTACAGGGGCATCACTCTTCTCTCAATACCGGGAAAAGTCTTCAACAGGGTATTGTTAAACAGGATGAAGGACTGCGTAGACGCCCAACTTCGTGACCAACAGGCAGGATTCCGTAAGGATAGATCGTGTACAGACCAAATCGCAACTCTACGGATCATTGTGGAACAATCAATTGAATGGAATTCATCACTCTACATCAACTTCATTGACTACGAAAAGGCATTTGATAGCGTGGACAGAACAACACTATGGAAACTTCTTCGACACTACGGCGTGCCTCAGAAGATAGTCAATATCATACAGAATTCCTATGATGGATTAAACTGCAAAATCGTGCATGGAGGACAGTTGACAGACTCGTTCAAAGTAAAGACCGGTGTCAGGCAAGGTTGCTTACTCTCACCCTTTCTCTTTCTCCTGGTGATCGACTGGATCATGAAGACGTCAACATCTGAAGGGAAGCACGGGATACAGTGGACATCTAGGATGCAGTTGGACGATCTAGACTTCGCAGATGATCTGGCCCGCTTATCGCAAACGAAACAAGAAATGCAGGAGAAGACGACCAGTGTGGCAGCAGCTTCAGCAACAGTAGGTCTCAATATACACAAAGGGAAAAGCAAGATTCTTTAATAAAACACAGCATGCACCAATCCAATCACAATTGACGGAGAGGATTTGGAAGATGTGAAAACCTTTACACATTTGAGCAGCATCATTGATGAACACGGTGGATCTGATGTAGATGTGAAGGCGCGAATCGGTAAAGCAAGAGCAGCAACTGAAGAACATCTGGAACTCAAAGCAACTGTCAACCAACATCAAGGTCAGGATTTTCAATACAAATGTCAAGACAGTTCTACTGTATGGGGCAGAAACCTGGAGAACTACGAAAGCCATCATCCAGAAAATACAGGTGTTTATTAACAGTTGTCTACTCAAAATACTTCGGATCCGTTGGCTGGACACTATTAGCAACAACCTACTGTGGGAGAGAACAAACCAGATCCCGGCGGAGGAAGAAATCAGGAAGAAGCGCTGTAAGTGGATAGGACATACATTGAAGAAAGCACCCAACTGTGTCACAAGACAAGCCCTCACATAGAATCCTGAAGGCCAAAGGAAAAGAGGAAGACCAAAGAACACATTACGCCGGGAAATGGAGATAGACATGAGAAAAATGAACAAGAATTGGATGGAACTAGAAAAGAAGGCTTAGGACAGAGTAGGTTGGAGAATGCTGGTCGGCGTCCTATGCTCCATTAGGAGTAACAGGCGTAAGTAAGTAATGCTGAGATCACATAGAAGGTATTAAAAGGGATGGTAAATTGGTCTACAAGGCAGTCAATTCTCATTACCTTAAACGATTAGGATGTGTGTTAAATATTTCCCACCACCGCATATTTTGGCAACAATGTCTGTTCGTATAGAATTAGATTAAAAGAGAGCTAGGTATGAGCAAATAAAGAAGTAGTGAAAGTCTATAAACCCAAGTCTATAAACTTTGATCCGCTGGATAACTGTGACCAATCAATTGTGATGTTAGTTTAAAATGGATAAGAATCGATTAAAATGATATAGGTTCATTCATTTTTTGTCATCCCAAAGAGTTTTAGTTTCTAAACTACTTTATAATTTTTTGTCTTTGCTATTAAACTTAAGCATTTCAAGCCATATTCTTCATATTATGTCATTTTATCACTAGAACTACTATTATTCCATTTCCTCTGGTATTTGTTTTGTTAATTCTATCTCACAGTGGTGAAACTGGTGTTATGACAAAGCCGATCCATAGTGTTCTCCAGATTCTACGTTGACTGCGGACTGACTGGCTGATAATATGAAATTCAATGTGGAAACCAATGAAAGCTAAAAGAAACTAAACAGTTGTTTTGTCCCAATTTGCAGACATCATAGCAGTGTGCATTTGTGAATTCATTTAAAAACATCGATTGGTACATTACGATTCGTTAGTGTAAATGTAATGTGTTCATTGGAACCTAGGTTTAATTATTTGTGGGCCACTGTTGAATGTTGTTTATAAAACTCGAACTAAAACAAACCCGATTCTCAGTACTCCTTGGCCAGATCATGTTAGACTGCATTAAGAACTATTTTAATCACTTCGTATCATCCAAATAAATAAAAGCCAAGTGCTTGATATCTTTTGAATTTAATCGACATCATCGTTAGAATAAACTTAAGCCAATCAGAGGTTGGTGAATTAATTTAAAATAAAGTGAAAGTAATTGTGATTTGAAAACAGTGTATTTTCGTTCTCATCTACCTTGGGAGGAATGGGGTGGAGACGATAAGAGTGAATACTATTTCTAGGCTATAAATCAACAATATCCAAGTGTATATTCATCAAAATATACCAGAAAAACTTCTCTACTATCACTGGGTCTTAAGGTGTTGAACTAAATTATTATCATTATTTAATATGTATTTATTATTTGCTGTTTCAGTTTTTAAAAGAAATACAATTAAGTAGTTCATTCGCACAACTTACCTCATCTTCTATTCCTTCTTTATTATTGGCCTATCAAAAATACAAAATTAAAACAGTTTACAGACTTTATTTAACATTTCAACATTATTGTTAAAAATTCTTTTCCATTATAAAGATGTATATTATCCCATTAAATCTTGGTACAATGAATGTAAATAGTTGACTTTTTACATTAGTGTATAGCTATTGAGTTTAATTTAAACACTGTAGTATTTCCTGAATGTGTTCTAGTAGCTATTTCTAGTATCTTCAATAATCAGTTTATTTGTTTGTTTTTAAAATCACCAAAATCGAGTAAAAGACGTAAATACTAGTTAGCTATTATATGATATAACATAGCTAAGTTCATATCGCTCCCAAATGCCCTGGTATGGCCGAGTGGGGAGAGTCTGCTTTCCTTCTCAAAATGCTCTCACATGGTCATGCGTATACAGCCACAGCTGGAAAAGCCCCACTCACTGCCTTCTTGAGGTGGAGTGTTGTTCATGAAGTCAAGAGGATGAAAAATGAATGTCCGGTGTTCTAACGGGGTCGGTGGATATCAAGCTTCCACTTAAAAGAGTTGAAAAACCCTGATTCCAAACCAGTGGTGCACATGAGCTCCAGGATTCTGAGGAAACAAAAGGCGTATGAACCCATTGTTGGTCACTTGATTGAGTGAGGTATTTTTGCCTTGATTTTGGATAGGTAATTACATGTTTTTATTCAGTTGTCAGATTATGTATCATAAATTATGCTTAAATTGATAAGGGTAAATTAGTCTATATTATTTAGCAAATTAGTGTTTCTTTTGATTGATCAGATACTAACAGAAAGTTTAATTTATCTTCCTGAATAATGCGTACCAACGCTACAGTAATATTCTAATAGTATGACATAGTAATATTCTTATCTCCTCCAACGATGTCATAAATGTCAGTTTTTTCATGCAAAATACCTAATGAATGCCAAAAGATCTATGTTTCGATATTATTCCATTATATAGTTCTAATTCACTAGTCAATGGTTGTCAGTTGCAGTCTGTTGATTAGTCACATCCAATAGCATCCAGTGAATGTTAGTCCTACATGAGGATTTCCTTCAAAACGTTCACAAAAACGTTATACATAGTAAAATAATTGAAAGAATATCAGGAATTGATACTCTATCTAGAGACTCATCTGTCCAAATAAAATACGCAGTTGCCATAATTCTATTTATTGAAAACAGTAGTAGAATAAACAGTGGTTTTAATAACCTTCAACAGCCATTAAAATGCGTTTTGTTATTTCTAAATGGAACATTTCGCTGCATGTTTTTTTCGTATAATCGCTTGGATCGATCACAGAGGATGAGTCAGTTAACTGTGTTGGTCAATTCACTTGTCGTCAAAAGTTTTATCAGTTCTGATGGGTTAGTTGGCAAAAGCCAACTTGTATCACCTGAAATGTAGGCGAATTTTTCATCTGCCAACCAAGCTGCTTACGAAGAGAATTACTTAATGGAAAATGATTAAAGAATAACTTTCTAAAAAAATCAATAATAGACGAATCTTTATCACTCAATGATCAATAAAACTAACCTTCATTACTAATTTATAATCATAAACTGTTTTCTTTATCGGAAATGGACGTTTATAATCTTCCATTGGCGGTGGGACTAATTCAATTAATGCCAGTCGTTGTCTTGTCTCTTCCATCATACCACCATTCATTAATTCACGTATTAATTTATCAAATTTCTGTCTACCATCTTTATCTGTAGTTGCACCGATTGACCAAACATAAGCAAAAAGAATATACACTGAAAGACAAAGCATAGAACAAGTAAATCTATTATGTAATAATAATAATCATACAAGACAGTACTTCTTAAATAGTCCAGGAATTTAATATTCGACATTTTGTTATTAATACCTAGTCGTAGATCAGTAAGAATAGGGGCTTTTGGAGGTTATATTTCACTATCATCTAATACAACTTTTCATTGTATGTTGTAGTTGCTCATCATTTCAATGACTTATGCTAACATTTTTTTTTTACTTATCAGTAGTTTATCTTAATGGTTTACCTCTCAGGAGGAATGTGAATTGGACTCAATGGTCTAAAGGTTTATCCGATAACAGGATGAATTAAAAATTTCACATCATGTTTTAAAGTAATCTTCTAAGATATATCATCTAGACAACGTTATCTGTCAATAAAGAATCTTTATGAATTACAAATACGATTAGTACAAAATGTGTTCCAATAGAGATAGATCCTAAATCACTTTATATTTCAGAATTTTATTTCATAAAATAGGATAAAGGAAGTTATTCTAATGCTAAAGTGATACACAAAAAAAGTACTTTCTTAAGTATTCAAATTGATTTAGACGTGTTAATATGTTTAAGAATCCCACAAATAAAATTATAAATAGATTAAGTGTAACAATAAGTTAGAAAGAAGTTTAGTCTACTTTCTTAAATTTCATTATACATTTTCTTTATATATATGTGTATAAATACTACTACTACTACTACTAATAATAATAATAATAATAATAATAATAATAAAAGTTCACGTACGTATTACACACAAACAAATTGGGCTTACTTCAACGATTGCACTTGAATTATGATCAGTAAATTGTGTAAAATTATTGTCAGCATTAAATTCTGCTATTTGACAATCAATTAGATTCATTAATGATTTCACTAAGTTTATATCACTAGTTGGTGATAATTCCTTCATTGATTGATTGTTTAATTTAGGGAGTATGTTTTTTGTGAAGTAAATTAGATAGAAATAGGGAAAACAAATCATGAAATAAAGTGATAAAAGTCAGTAAATTGTAGAGTTGAATAGAAAGGAAAATCTTATTATTTGAATAGTAAAAAAAGCCAACCAAAATATCAAACTGTTGGGAAAAGCAGAGTGTTGTGATTCAGTTTTTATATAGGTTGCACTCAATTAAAACTTACAGGTTAGTATTCAGTCGATTGTTGTTCAGAAAAGTCTTCATTACGCATAGAGACTATCATAAAGGCTCGGGGACTATTTTGTTTTTCTAAATAACCTTAGTAAGATAAATTTCAGAGGATTATAAATTTATCACCTATATCCAATTCAAATCACAGATGAACACTTAGTTTTCATAAAGTTAAAGACACATTTTGTTGAAACATGTGCTCCCGACCATTCCACATACCTCATGTAAGTTTTTAATAAAATTTTAGGTGGATTACTGAAGCGATGAATAAATAAGGCTACAAGACGTATGTATCGGATAATGAAGGTTATGATTCGCAACTATATTGCACGGAACTTCCAGAGTGTACAAACCGTAGAATGGTTACCTTTTCACATATCCTCCTACTGACTTCAAAGTTGAATCCTACAGAGACCTGAATTTATACCTTAACTAAAAGCATAATGTTGTAGGTAATTCGTTGCTTATGGTCGATAGTGTACAGCCTTCTTTAATATGTCCAATAAATTATTTCTATATAGAAAAGAATGACAGTTAACTTGGATTTACTGCGCATTAGGTTTTCCCACGTTTTTCGCCACTCAGTTAATTATGAACACATCTTAGTCGACTACCATTCAGTGAACCTAGTTTCCATTTATACTATCTCTTTTTGCTAAAAAAAAATTCATCTGAAACTTATGGTTGATACCTAGAGATCTGTGTTATTAAGTTCTGAAAGTGATTGCGTAATCCCGATCTTCAGAATAACTGATAGGCTTATCAAGATCTTCGAGTTAATCACACGTATTATGACTTGAAAACAAGTTAGCGTGAAAGTTATTCACTTGACATCGGTAACCAATGAAATTTATTCATGTATATGTCAATGAAGGTCACTAATGTCTCAGCTACTTGATGGAAATCAATTTGGCGTTCAATTTATCCTTTACCAAATTTATTATTTATAATTAAAACCTAATGTTACAATAAATTGTTTGACCGGTTTAGTATATCTTACTTCTTTTAGTAAAGTAAGCACCAGAATGTTAGTAAAACCTAACCATTTCTCACAAACAACGACAAATGTGAGAACTTAGAAGCTTACTGTTGCTTACAACTACTGAGAACCGCGAAGGACAAATCGGCTATTCCGTTTAAATATGGGACTATTCAGAAGCGTGCATTCATAGTTTCACTTTTGGTCAAACCCAGGACCTTCATACCTTGGCGGTAGTGCTTAAACTTTACACCTATGAGTTGGCAATTAATAGTTTACATTTCATGATATTACTCGATCATCATTCGATACCATGGAGCGGTAAGCATCATACTATCTACGTGGTTTCATTCTAATGGTTAAGGATTCTCGGTTGAATTCAGATGGGTTCGTAGATGCGGGCTACTGAGGAGTCACATCTCAGGGAAAAACAGCCACCTAGTAATTCTTGTTTTTCAATGGCTGTCTAACTAAGGTCAACTCAACAATGTTAACAAAGCACGCATACTAATGACTAAAGATGTATTTAAACAAGAAGTAACCAATGAAAATCAGTAAATCTATATCATTAGTCACTGATGTAGATTTTAGATATCGAGAAACAAGTGTGTTAAAAATTATGCTATAATCCAAGTTTATCAAAGTTGAGATGTGCAAGCTAATAAACTCGAACCCACTACTTCAAATGTACCATGTTCGTCATTAGATATAAAGGACTTGGCTGTAACCGTGTATCTATAGATTAACTGGATGCAGTTCTTATCAAACTGTATCGGACTTAATGTTGAATACTTCCTCAGTCGATATTAGTTTCAAATAAAAAGTCTTTTCAAGGTGATCTTTAAAATAGGGTAAACTTTAAATATATAACAAAAATTGACGAGCGGAAAACATTTATGTAATTCCAATAGCTTAGAAAATACTAATGCAGGCCAATCAGCGACAATAAATTACTGAACTACTTATGTACTATGATAGTTTTATGAAGATCGTTGTTTGAGATACAACTTTAAAAGAAAACATTCCGCTTACTTTAATACCACCTTTACGAATTAATGCATACCAGCATCGACAAATCTATCAAACATATCAATCCAAATATCTTTATGTAACTGTTTAATAAAATTAGGTAATTTATTCATCCAACTACGTAGCAATGGTCGCCAACCTAAACTTGCCGGTTCCAAATAAATCATACCACAACGAGATACAGTTGCCGGTGAAGCAGCCTCTAAATCCATTGGTTCGAATATCAAGTTAGTTGTTGGCGCTAACTGAATAATTTCACCTGACATTAAACATAACTTTTTATTATCATCTAACACAGTATTCATATTCTCTATCCATACAGCATCAACTGGTCCATCAAATATTAACCATTTACGATCTGGTGTTGTTGATGTGGCAAATGTTCTATATGAAACAGCTAATATACCATCTGACCACTCATGTGATACGGGATCAAACTGGCCATATAACTGTCCCATTGTTATCGCTTTTGGATTGATTACAGTATATTGCACTTTATTTTCTTCCATAAGACCCTGTTTTTATGGATATAAACAGAACATATAAACAAGCAATAACCTGAATAGTAATAATACTAGTAGTAGTGTGCTTTAATAAGCATAATATTATTCTTAACAGATATCAAACATTATATGAATAAAGTTATGCTCTATTCTGTGATACAAAAAGGCTCGTCAGTTTGGTTTTTTTCCAGTTTTTAATGGTAGTTGAAGAGTTTTAAAACTATGGAGAAAGTTTATAGCTCTGATGCATAACCTTATCCTTTGGATTGAATTGTCTGATTTATTGGCAATCTCGAAAAATAACATAATGAATGAACTATTTGAGGAATGTCATGATCTAACCATTTATCCATAGAGATAGTTTTGTTAAGCGTATCTGTTGATGCATTATTCTATGAGGTAGTAAATCTTCATGGATTGAACCACATAGTTCATGTATTACGTTCATCCAACCACCATCTGTCTCGGCACTCGAAGTTAGTTGGAATAAAACCAGAGGAGTTTAAGCCGAAATGTAGTATCAGTTTATGAGTTGAAAATTAGTTGACAAACAAAGCTTTACAAAATTGACTAGATGATTATTGAGTAAATATTCATCTACTTGGTTTAGTATTTTGTGATAATTAGAGAATCATGATATAATCATAATCGTACATGAGCACTGTTGAGGAGTTTCATACTAGAATGAAAAGGCCGTTTAGTGCTGCCAAATTTTTGATGGTAGTCTATCTTAGATTAACTCATAAATTCAACTATTTAAATTGTTACAATCTCCACGAATCCCCAGTCAGTCAGCTACAACGTAGGACCAGGCAAATATATGCATCGGTCCAGATTGCCATACCTCATTAGCACAGTAAGATGGACACCGGATTCATAGGAGTGGTTAGGTCAAAGGTGGTAATATATAGGAAAAAGATTGCATATAAGGATATAGTACAGGAAGAAAGAATTATTGCGTAGAAAGGAAGATATGAAGTGATTTTAATCTCATAGTTTAAGGGAAGACAGAGAGTGTATACACCTATTCCATTGTGATCGATTCTGAGCCATGTCACCAAGAGTCTCCAACCATCGGTTACGAAAGTCACGCGGACCCCAACCAAGTAGTCTGCATCTACCAACATGGCTCAGACTAGAGGTTAGTGTCTTCAAGCACTGATGCCACAAATCCCCATTCTGATAACGATCATAATCAACAATTTGTTTCTGATTTTAACATTATTAGAACGGTTTATGTTGTGGATAAGCAGAGGTGGAAACTAAGGATGTGTTCATCTATCCATTTGTATAATTTTGGTTTACAACCTTATACATAAAAGCATACACTGACTCCTAAACAGGGGAAGTTTTCCGTTTGTGAACAATTGTCACGTGTTAAAACATAACATTCTTGGCCGTTCACATTTCTGTTTACATCATTGTCTCGTTAAGAGTTTGTTCTTTTGGGATTACACTGTCTTCAGTGCAGTGGATAATTATCGTCACGTTTTCTACTTCTTTAAGTTCTGGTAACATCTTTTTGAATATGTTGATGAGGCGTTAAATTTATCAGTTGAATATGAGGGTGGTGAGCATATGACTGATGGTATTTTTTTTACGTGTAATGAATATCTATGTTAGATAAAATAATTACAGATTGTTACAGAAGAATACTACAAATAAGATGACCATCAATCTTGTTGCATTACAGGGTAATATGCAGTAGATTTATTATTATTATTATTTCATACAGATATCGATTGGTCTTGGACAAAATTAGATTTGTTTTGACGAAAACTGTCAGTAATATGTTAAGTTCAATTAACTAGTTAATGTTAATTAGGATAGTCTTACTTTAATAATCCAGTCCCTATTAAGTACTCTGCTTGATTTAAACGCCCTGTCCATAGTTCCTGAATAAATTAGCATTTGAGTCTTAGTAAAGGAACCTCCAAACAAAATGAAATACAATTTTTACTTGTCAATAAATCAATTAACTAAAATAATCCAAAAATTGTCAAACATTTTAATTAGATAAATCTAATTTACTTTTTCACATATTTCACCTAAAGCAGCAGCTAATACACGATATGAACTAGTTTTACCACCGAATGGTTCACCAACAATCATAAAACCATGTCGTACAATCATCATTTCATAAACTTGTTGTATTTTCTCTATGAAAAATTTAGTATATTGTAAATTCATACGATCACAAGCATTTTTTATAGCATTATTTAATATTTCATAATCTGGTGTTGGACGTTCAATACCAGGAAATAGATCTGAAGCTATTCCACTAAATAATGGTAAATCATCACTAAGAAATTTCGGTAAATTCACATCAATAATAGAACGTAACATTAATACATCTTCATCTTCATTTGGATATTTTAACTAAATTTTTAAAGAGAGTAGAAATAAAGAAGAAAGTATAGTTTCAGTGATTAAATCAATTAAACTATATCTTATAGTTGAGATCATGAATCAATTGAAGCTAGACCACCATGGAAAAACTGGATGCACCTAATGGCCGTTTTGTCCTAGTATGGCACTTCTCAGCAGTGTTTCCAGGTTTTCTATGGTAGTCTAGCTTTAACTGACTCATGATCTCAACCACAAAATCTTCACGAAACCCCTTCCGATAATAATCATCGTATGCTCACAAGTGACTGGCTTCAAGAGGTATTTCTTGGAGTTCTAGTGAGAAGCAATGACCAGTGGCGTTCAACCGGGTCTGTTGTGAGATAGTAACCCACTGAAATCAATGATGGACGGTGACTCAATTTCGTGGATTGGCTGAAGTTAGACATTGACACCGTTGTATTCCGGCTCTGTGGTTTAGAGGTTATACGTTCACGCGCGAGACTGATAGGTCCTAGGTTTGAATCTCGCATGGCTGGATCGTGAATAAACACTGTTGAGGAGTCCCCTACTAGGACGAAACGGCCATCAAACGGTGCTTCCAGGTATTCCATGGTGGTTTAAAATTGGTCGATTCATGATCTCAATCAAAGACTAAAAATAATGTCGAAATTAGTACACTACCAAATTAGAAATCTCATTTCTCATGAATTCAACTCTAAAAGTGCTAAAATCTCTACGAATCCCCTTTCAATGTTACATGGATAAAAATTGAAAGTAAAATAAAAACAAAGATTCATATCCGATTTAAATAAGTGATTTAATTAATGTAATCATCCGTTACTTGTCATGGGAAAATATACACCGTACTTCTTTTAATGATCATAACTTGAATTATTAAGAGATTGGTTGTATAAATAAAAAATAATATATTTGTAATATCCCAATGAGTAGAAAATTTCTGACGTTTCGTGACTTAGTGTAAGTCACTTCTTCAATCAATGCTCAATTTATTCGAAATTATCAAATCAAACCTTGGTAATGACACCTATAGATTGGTTGTATGTTGTTAGATAAGGGTAAGTAAGTCAAATAGACGAAACTTTCAGAACTATTCACATATAGCTCATTTTACATATTTTTATTGGATTGTTAGGGATGCTGAGGAATATACCAATCATTATCATGTTGAGTCTAATGATGTCCTTGGACTCTAAATGGGCATTCCCTATCGGCCATTATTTATTTCACTCGTTAAATATTGTACAGATGTTGTTTTCTATTTTTATGGTACGATGTGGTCTGTTTGGTTAGTATATAAATAGGGTATGTTTGAAATATAACGATTCATAACTCAGAGGCTGTGACTTGCGTTCTGGACTCAACTGGCTGGGCTAGACAGGGAAGCGGGAACAATCGGGACTCTAGGTCATCCCTACGTGTTTTGCGTGTCCACCGAATCGATCAATAAAACACTGCTTATCATAACCTGCAGTCCACCCGTTACAACAGGATATTTACTTAAATTCTAGTTACGTATCGAATGTGATTTTTTTGGTAATAATAAGATCTTGCAAATGATGATAATTATTATTGAGTTTTTGAGCCATATTTAAAAGAATGTATGCTGGTTTGATGTTTTCTTGTTCTGACAGGGCTATGGAAATACAAGAATGTGAGTGAACATATGAATGTTAAGATGTCAGACCATTGTCCGAGGTAGATGATTTTGTTAATTAAGTGAAGGCTCTTAGCATTATTATTGTAAAGTGGATCCATCACTAGTGAGTTCAACAAATTAGTGTTTCTTTATTAAGTTAGCATATATCAGTTAAATTCGTAACATGTGTAATCTGTTAAAATCTATTTAACACACTGCTGATAAAAAATTCTTTTCACGACCTATAACTGACATAACCTGAAGAACCATTCAAAACGACAGACCTCCAAATTAATGTTCCGTTTTAATTTCATACGACTACTCAAAAGTGCATATCTTTGACTCTGCAAATAACTGAGTCAACGGTTTTAGGATTTTGACAATATCTATAAAACATTCAGCAAAAATTCAGAGGAACAAATTTCCAACTGAAGTCACTTTGTTATACTTGATTGTTATCATTTGATTAATTGATAAACATTCATTAAACTTTCTACGATATCCCATTATTTTGATTTATTTAGAACTGAATTGACTTTAGTTGCGTATCACAGATGCTAATCTTTGTCCCTTTGTGTTTATCTGTAACTTCTTATTATTACCATTACATTATGATTTAGTCAATAAAGAGCAACCTGACATTGATTGGTTCATTATAAATATTATCATGATAATTTATGTTCTTATACTTACTTTAAGATTACCAGCTGCTGTAAGGACAGATTTCACAGCTCTCATACCATAATCATAATGAGATTGACTAGATAATTGTTCTGAACATAAACGATAAGTAGCAACAATTTTTATAGCAAGTGGACGAGCATTAACAAAGCCACATGAATATAATGAAATCTCTGCAATCATTGCATAATCTGGTACCATCATAGCTACTGAACGAAACAAAGCCTTGAAAAGACAAGAAAATAGCATAAATTTGATAATTATTAAATTTTAAAACATTCTGTCAGTGAATAATGATACGTCAAAGTTGATGCTCATCAGTGTGAACGAATTAGTATGCATTGGAGTTTGTTATAAATACTTGGAACTTACCTAAACCAAGTTCTAAAGTCAAGTTACTTGTTAAAAAAACATTGAAAACTCTGAAGGAATCAGTTGATTCTTGAGAATTTCGAATCAAACTTTTGGAATCTGCATTAGTAAGTGATGTTATAGAGCTATTCGGAAAGCGAATAATCGCTTGTAGTAATGGACCAAGTACAATGATAAATTGTAGTGTATGGTAACTAATGTTTATACTGGTGATTTTCTTCAACTATCCTAAATCAAATACATGAAATAGAGACGTCGACTCACTCCGCACAATAAAGAATGGAATTCTCTTATATCTTCTACATTTATATTAATGTGAAGAAGTAAATTGACGTTTATAAAATCCGTTTTGTATCTAGATTAACCATAAAACCGTCTTCTTAGGTGAATGTACTAGCAAACTGGTGTCTTTTACAAATTTAAGCAAGAGGTTTCGTATGTAGGAAATGAATTTCTGAAAAAACCGGATCGAATATATTTCTTCAAAGCTGGCGTTTCTAAAGTGAGTACAAGTTGGAAGCATTTAATTTAACTTATTTTCAAGTCATCACTCATGAGATAAACACTTATAAGGAGTAGTGAGGTTGCGGATAGAGAGTTAGATTAAGGGAAGAAATCAATTGATGAGGTCTTAAGGCTTGTATTAAGCTATGCGTTGTATGTATTTATCCACTGCATGCTTACATATAATATCCTTGATAGAATAAGAGTTAAACATTAAAATGTTCATATGTTATCAGGCCATTATGAAACACAACAATATAAAGTTTGCACATGTTAGTCACCATAGATTTTTATTTATTGAATACACCTGATAGTGAAAGTCGATGTTTGGAGACTTAATCAAAAATACAAATCAAAATGTTTGATCTTGGATAAAAAATTATCTAGGGTATAATGAAAAATTTCCCGAACAAGATCCTATTTCATTATTCTCATGTAAATATCCAATTGGAAATAAATAAGTAGGACAATATGACTTTAATCCATTAATGGAAGTCATTTAAATATACCAAAATGTTCTTCCCAAGATATACGGAATTAATAATTTTGAAGGAAATGCAAATAAGTTAAATGTTAGTATAGAAGTGATTATTACTGTATGAACTAACATTATTAGTGCAAATCAATTGATGAAGTAGTAAAACTTCATCAGTTGAGATGGCTGGAACACATGTTACGTATGGTCAACCACCGACTGCCTCGATGTGCGATGTTTAATGGTATAGGAGTAGATTGGAAGACAACTAGGAGCGGCCTGACCAAAATATGGCACAAATCCATGAAGTTACTTATAAGTGAACTGAGTCATGTTGGTAGGTGTAGACTATCTGGTTGAGGACTGCGAGATGACAGCAACCGATGGTTAGTGGCCCTGAATGACATGAATCAAAATCGTTTGCAATGGTGCAAGTGCATACACTCTTTGTGTTCTCTCAAATTCTAATCTCCTGAATCCTCTTGTCTCTTTTTTCTCTTCCCAAATTTATTTCACTGGATTATACTCTTTGAACAACATCTTCAAGCCCTAATGTTTCTGATTACTGCTTATACTCTTACTACCTCTAGCACTACGGAATTTGAATCGACAACTGCATCTCTGTGTTAATGTGGTGTGGTAACTCGAACTGATTACGTACGTACGTACGAAGTTCTATGTTGTTACTGACTGACTGACTGATTAGTGCAAATATCTCAAGTGTACACTTAATCTCTTTAACTACATATACTTTGTAATAAGCTTTAAAATGAAATACATTCCTCGAATAAAACCTTTATGAAAATAAATTACAATTGGTCAGAAATTTTTGTAAGCTTCCCTATTCTAAACAGGGTTTATAAACGTTATTGATTATTTTTCAGTTGTGGATTCTATTAGTTAATATAATTTAATGTATTATTCAAATTACAATAAGACTAACTTTTAAATTATCCGGTAATTCTGAACGTCCAGCATAACCTGGATTCATTGTAATGAATACAGCACATGTTCGATCTAATTTAATTTCAGTTCCTTCAAATATTAAACTTGTTTGATTGGCAAGAATTGCACGTTGAATAGTTAAAATTTGTTGAGCTACTACAGAAAGTACTTCTAAATCAATACGATTAAATTCATCAAAACATGACCATGCACCGCATGATGCAAGTCCCTGTGTAAATTACATTAAATGAGAATGAAATAAATGACATAGATATTAGCACATATTTACTATCTATGTGAATATATTTGAGAATATTACTCGTAAACTAAAGAAGCTTATTACAGTTTACGTATCTTCTGACAAATTTACGGACACCAAATAGAAGATATCTAAATAATTGGACGTAATTGTTAAGAAGTGTTGAACCTATATTTCATGATAGTTTATTCTCATTAACAAGACACTCAGTCGGTTTACAGAGAACTGATTGGTCCACAATTTTTAAGTGTATGTCACTTGGCTTCTGAGACAGAAACATTATTAGTAAACTATCTGAACTGAGATTGATTTTCTATGGTTTTGAGTTACTTTAGGTTTTTATTATTCTTTTTTCATAATCAATTTATTGTTGTATAATCCTTAGTGTTGATCAATCTTAATGTATCAAGCTGCATTTAAATATAACTCAAATATAATGACTAACAAAAGGAAAGTAGTAGTGAATAGTTTGAAATCATCATTTTCATCTTTGATTAATTGTCTGTTATATATTAGTATATAAGTATGGGCTTTCATTCTTTAACAACGTATTCAATTATTCAAAAAAGATACTGTCTTCTGTAATCAAGTCATTTGGGATTTATCTCTTAGTTCCATGAATGAATTGTCATTTCTATTATCTTAATCATACCAGTACTTTATTACTCAGATGTCCCGTCGCATCATCATGCTGGAAACTACAAGCCATAAAAAATAGTTAATTTAGAAAAATGATTATCACGTGTAAATTCAATCGTTTTGGGAAAATTCCAGCAATGACAATTATATGAAAATACTCCATTATCTCTCTAAAAAATGTACGATTATTACTTTTGGAATGAATTTTTGCACGTAATAACCTTTACTAATCTCTATGTAGCTCACTCTGAAACAAAAGCTTAAGCTAGGAGGGGATTACTTAACAAAAAAAGACATGACAACTGTAATCGATATAGTTCTTATACGAAAGGTGTTATGATTTGTATATCTTTAAATGAGTTGAAGTATGGATACATAAAGGGAAATTCTGCCAACATGAACAAGGATCTGATGTAATGAACAGACCGAACGGTTTATAAACAAAAATACTTCAAAAATGATAATTGCACGAAAAAAAAGAGATATGAAACGTTAAGTCACTCAGTCAACTACAACGTACGATCGGAATTAAGAAGTGAAGTTTAAGTGAGACAATCTCGGAAAAAGACAGCACTCTTATTTGCTTTCAGTCCAGATGTTTAGAACGACAGGCGGAAGACTTTACGGAGTATTTTAGCAGGCCTTCAGCTGCTCTACAGTTACCCACCATTCCCAAACAGCCTGGATGAAACATTGGGATAGGCTATCTGACTCTGACTGAAGTTGGAAAAGCAATGGCTAATCCGAACTGGAGAAGAGAAGCTAGTTCAGATGGATTAACTCCAGAGGTCTTTAAGGATAGTGGTCCAGTTTCAGCGATTAGATTGACTAATATTTAAGAAAAATCTGGGAATCTGACGTAATTCCATCTGACTGGTCGCAATCATTGATTGTCCCAATATTTAAGAAGGGATCAAAATCATCCTGTGATAACCATAGAGGGGTTAGTTTAAGTAGTATAACATAAAGGTTTGAAGAAAAGACAGTTAAATAGTTAGAGAAAAACATTGTATATATAATATTTTACGAGACAAAACAATAAAAATAAATATGAATTAATTACATGACGTTCTTACATTGTTAAAGACAGACAATCTGGGAAAAATTAATGATCTTTATGGTTTACGAAAACAGTTATCTTTGCATCAGGAAAATGTGTTAAAATAGTTTTATCTACTAACAAAAATCAAAATACTGTAAAATAATTATTTAGTATAATAACAATATTCAATTCATACCTTGAAAAATTTACCCAAAGCAATATAATCCAGTCCATCGGAACAATTGAATACAACACATTGTTTAGCTACTGCTTTTGCGAGATCTTTGGTTGTCTCTGTTTTACCTGTACCAGCTGGACCCTCAGGAGCACCACCCAAATGTAAATGTAATGCACCAAATAATGTTCGATAACACCTATCAGTCAATGGTGTGATAACTAATCTCCCAGTATTACCCAAATATTCATAACCATAGCTTAAAAAAGAAATGCATTATAACAAGTAGTAAGCGTAAGATCTCTTTATATTAGTGAAAGATTTTTTAAAAAGTGATTTCCGATCTATAAATGATGTGTAACATGAGAAATTCTATGAGTGGATGATAATTGTCCATGAAACAACTCTCCAGCACTTCATAATTGTCATTAGTTTTCTATTCATTCATGTACGGTAGAAATTCTCTCGAAATATTGCGTACGAAATGAATAGGTAATAAGGATGATCAAGTTTAGAAGAAAGTGCTTACATACATCATATATCATTAAATTTCCCACCCGAATAAATACTTTCAATGACATAAAGCTATTATAAATCTTTATACTATCTAATTAAAATAAGTAGTTGAAATTTTATAATTCATAAAACTATATTTCGTATGGACATCAACAATAAAAGGGCTTACTTTAATTGTGAATTAATCATACGTGTCACTAGCTTTTGTTCAACCAAATAATAACGTAGTTGACTAAGCCATGAAAATTCTGTATTGGATTGACATTTAAGTGATATAAGTTCGGCCAGTACATCACGTGCATGAACATCTAACACAATTAATGCTTGTAGTGTTATACGATTTTGTTTAGATAATTGTCCTCTAACCATAGCAACAATTTCATCTATTTGCTGGTTGTTTACCTACAAACATTTATATTTTGAAAGAGAACGGAACATTAAGGTCTGTTACAAAGATGTACACCAAGAACTGGATGTAACCTTTTTTAAAAAAATGTCACCGAGTACAAACCAAAGTACATTTATATATTCAAATTCCTGATTACTACCTCATTCATCAAGTCATATAGTTTGACAATTGAACTGAAAATTCAAACATCACGTTTCATTTTATAGAGCGGAAGGTACATGGAAAACTCTGATTTCTCGTCTGGCTTATTTAAGTGATAGGCGATGTGATTTTCAATCCAAATGATTTTCAACATGTACAATATGCTTTGTGTACTATAACAATGTATTCTCTTATCGCAATAGAATGTAGCCTCTAAATAAACGAACTGTGAAGTTAATAATAGTTTTTGAGAAATTGTTAAAGTTTAAAAGCTGGAATAAATAGACGACTGTTATTTCAAACTTTTCTGCCAGAAAATAGAAATATAATAAGTCAAATCAAGCTTACGAGTAACTGATATGAGTTTTAATTATGAGCCGATATTGGTTGGAAAACTTCTTAAGGAGAAATAAGATTGAAAATCTGTGTCTTTCCAGTAGGAAAATGATACATATAGAAATGAAATACGGAGTCACTGATCATTTGGAAGTCACTAATATAGATGAGCATTCATCTTAAGAATTTGTATGACTATCAACGTTAATCAGTCATCTACAATGTAGGACCAGCACATATATGCATCGGTCCAAGTTGCCATACCTCATTATCACAACTAGATGAACACCAAATTCATGGAACCATTTATTTCGAATGTAGTAATATATTTAAAAAATGATTGTCTATGAGGATATGGTTCAAGGAGAAAGAATTAGTTCGTAGAAAGAAAGGCATAAAGTAATTTTAATCTCACAGTTTAAGGGAAGACAAAGAGTGTATACAACTACTTGATTGTTAACGTGATTGAAGACTGAACTAATATTTAGGTCGTTTTAGTCACAGATCGGTCTCCCTTGGAGTAACAGATTTCTCGAACCAGGATGTTTCTACTAAACAACGTATATTCATCGCTCTACCAGGAGTTAAACGGAAAGACTCCAGGTCTTGTAGTGAACTTTAAACCCCAGGGACCACTGGGTTGAGATCTATTGGTACTATATTACCTACCAATTTATGATATAGGAAACCAAACACTCTATGCTGTTGTGGACAAACATTTTACTCTTAGTATATCTGAACTCCACCAGTCATAGCTTCTCACTAAAACGACTGGGACACTTGTAAGCTGATTATTATAGTTTAATTGGAACGGTTAACGAATATTATCAGCATAGATTTGTGAAGATTCTTAAGTTTTTAATTGAGATCATGAACCGACTAATGCTAGACCATCATTGAGAACCTGGAAGCACTGTTTGACGGTCGTTTCGTCCTGGTATGGAACTCCTCAGCAGTGCGCATCCACGATCCCGCTCACGGGATTCGAACCCAGGGCCTTCAGTCTCGGGCGCGAACTCTTAATCTCTAGACCACTGAGTCGGCATCTAACGGTGTTAATGTCTAACCTCAATCAATCCACGAAATTGCACGATCATCTTCCATTGTACTGAAACGGAGACTTGTTTCTACCCGATACGAATTAGCTCCACTAGTTATGGCTTCTCACTAGATCCTTGGGTTTGAATTCCACGAGCAGGGTCGTGAATGTGCACTTGTGAAAAGTCTCACAATAGGACGAGACGGCTGTCAATTACTTTTAGATTTTCAATGATGGTCTAACATTAATCGATCCATAACGAATATTAGTTTACTTTGTAGTTTATATTCATCAAAAGTATTTGTCACTAAATAAGATGATAAGTAAGTTACTCAAAATTTACTTACTATAAATATCATAAAGTTGTCGGATGTTAAAAAAACAGTATATGTTATGGTTTGTGAATGGGATGCTGATTGTCTTGGCACTGTAGTGAACAGAACACGAGTGGGGACAATCGAACGTATTTAACACAAAATTACAGGACTTGTTAATAAAATCTAACAATTATAAAGTAAATGCATAATTTGCAAAATGTCCATCGATTGTCTCAAAATGACTCAGACATGATTATTCTTGCATTTTCATACAAATTGCATTTTGTTTCCATTCTTTACTGTTCGATCCTCTTGTCTCTCTGCTGTCAGACCTTCTGTTCACGACTAACAATCATATACTGCTTATATCAATATAAGTAACACACACCACACTACTTTTTATAGGTGGTCGTCGCTGATTGTTGTGTCAGAAACGCTTATCACTTATACTTAAAAAAGAGAAACCTCTACAATTCTCATGACGAAAAAGTAAGAACACAAGATTGGTATAAGCGAAGATTGATTAACCCTAAAACATGATGACGATGACGACGACCTGACTCGAAAAATACACCCATTTATATATTGATTGTACACCCATTTTGATTAATAATTAAGATGAAATCACATATATAACCAATCTGGTGAAGACATTGACAATTCAGAGTCTTCTGACCACTCTAAACAACAATGCAAGCATGTTCGGCATGCAATTCTCCCCCTCGAAATGCAAAATGTTGCTTCAGGATTGGGTTGCATCGACACCCGAATTAATGATAGGGAGTGAAGTAATTGAGCGTGTCGATCGCTTCACTTATCTTGGAAGTCTCATCAGCCCTTGTGGTCTGCTGTGTGACGAAATCTCAGCACGGATACAGAAGGCTCGACTAGATTTTGCCAACTTGCGTCATTTATGACGTAGACGAGATATCCGTCTATCAACCAAAGGACGTGTTTACTGCGCAGCAGTTCGTTCCGTCCTACTTAATGGCAGTGAAACATGGCCAGTAAGAGTAGACGATATTCGTAGGTTGCTAGTATTTGATCATAGGTGTCTTCGAAACATTGTTCGTATAGCCTGGCACCATCAAGTAAGTAACGCAGCTGTTAGGAAACGGGTATTAGGTAAGGATGGAAAATCAATTAATAAAGTAGTAAAACTTCATCAGTTGAGATGGCTGGAACACATGTTACGTATGGTCAACCACCGACTGCCTCGATGTGCGATGTTCAGTTGTATAGGAGTAGATTGGAAGAAAACTAGGGGAGGCCTGACCAAAACATGGCACAAATCCATGAAGTCACTTACAAGTGAACTGAGTCATGTTGGTAGGTGTAGACTACCTGGTTGAGGACTGCGAGATGACAGCAACCGATGGTTAGTGGCCCTGAATGACATGAATCAAAATCGTTTGCAATGGTGCAAGTGCATACACTCTTTGTGTTCTCTCAAATTCTAATCTCCTGAATTCTTCATGTCTGTTTTTTCTCTTCCCAAATTTATTTCACTGGATTATACTCTTTGAATAACATCTTCAAGCCCTAATGTTTCTGATTACTGCTTATACTCTTACTACCTCTAGCACTACGGAATTTGAATCGACAACTGCATCTCTGTGCTAATGTGGTGTGGCAACTCGAACTGATGTACGTACGTACGAAGTTCTACGTTGTGAATGGCTGATATAACCAATCACATACTGAGCATAGTTCATGTTAATTCAATACAAGAATAAACTATCATACGAGAAAAGAATATCAAATACTACATTGAGTAATCATTATCATGGGATCAAAATAGAAGTCATATTGAATCAAATTCATAATGTGAGTAAATCAATCAAAAATTAACTATTCTTTCTAACATTATTATTAGTATTGATATAAATAATAAAATGAATACATACTTTTAAATAATTTTTCATTGCATCAAGACTAATTTGTATTGCTTCTTCAACATTCATTGTCCAATAATACATAGAACCAGCTAATATAGATTGACCACACCATAATTTAACCCAATCTTTACGTAATTTAATTAAATAATCATTTAATGCATTATTTATATTTAATTGTATTGAATTAATCATATTAGTTTCTAATTGTAATAACCATTTTTCTACAGAACCATGTGTATTTAATGTTGATATTGTATTACATAATTGAACTGATTCATTATCACTACTTATAATATGTGTAATATCTAATGTTTTAGTAAATAATAATGATGCAATACCTTCAAAACATTTTTTTAAATGTGGTTGTACTCTTAATGGATCATTTGTTTCTGATAAAATTTCTAATAATTCATCATTAGATAAAAAGAAAAATCTTGGAAAATATAAACGTTTCTTTTCTAAATATGTATTTAATCCTTTTAATATTAATTCAAGTAATTGATTAGATTTTTGTAATTTATTTAATAAATTCTCCATAGTAATAATAGTTAATATAGAATGATTTTGATTTGATTGTTTCATTAATTCTTTCCATATTTTATCAACAATAATAAATTTTCTACTTTCATCTGGCATTTGTGATATAATATCTGGTGAATTAAATATTGGTTCTAAATATAACCATGTAGCTTGTACTTTTAACCATTCATCAAGAATATCTTGAGTTAATATTAATTTTTGTTCCCAATCTCTTGAAAAAAAAAAAAGATTTTAAAAAGAATAAATAATGAGTTACTTGTGATATTTCAATGAATCCACGAATTCAGCGATACAACCACCATTGTCATCAATCAGTTACTATTTCACAATAGAACTCCAGGAATGTCTCTTGACATTAGTCACTAGTCAGCAGATGATTATTATTAGAAGGGGTTTTGCGAAGATTTTAGCCATTTCAATAGTTGAAATCATGAGTTAATTGAAGCTAGACCAACAGGAAAAACCTAGTATGGGATTCCTCAGCAGTGAGCATTCATGGTACCGTCCCCCCCAAGAGATTCGAACCCAGGACGTCTCAGTTCGTGCGCGAGCGCTTAGCCATCAGACCATTGAGCTTCAATTGACTCATGATTTCAACTATTGAAATTACTAAAATCTCCACAAAACCCTTCTGATAATTGTGATATTTATTTGTTGTGACTTCATGTCCGGCTTTTTATCACATGATTTATCCACCAATCAAAATACGACTCTTACAACCTTAGCACTGTGCCAAACCAATGACTTTCGACCGGTATGAGCAGCCTAGCGCCCTTATTGGTCCTATTTCCGCCTAGCTCGTTCACTTGAGTCCAGAACAACAATACCAGCTTCCACTATGCCAATCGAATCATTTATTTCAGACATACTGGGTTTATATATCAATCAAACAAACCGCAACGCACCATAAAATAGGAAATAACATTTGTACACAATAAAGCCAAAAAGTAGCTGTGAACATGGGAGGCAGTAGTCAATAAACTGAACATAGATTAAGAACAGTAAACTGTACAATAATAATATGTAGGTCAAAATAAAGCGTTCAATAAGAGGAATATAAATATACATAATAAAATTATTGAATAATTATACCATAAGAAGGTATAGATAATATTAGTCAATTAATATGTCTCGGAAGTTACCCGTGATTTATTCTTCGCTCGGATATAACATTATTTACTTATTAGTTAAAAAATTGAAATGTCACTTATTTACTTATGCTTATTACATGTCATGGAGGAGAATAGGCCATCCATCATCACTTTCCATCCAATCCTGTTCTGAGCAATCCTTTCTGGTTCTTACCAGTTGTTTTTCATCTTTTTCATAGCTGTTTCTATTTTTCGATGTAATGTGTTCTTTGCCTTTCCACTTTTATCGTTTCCCTTTAGGATTCCAAGTTAGGGTTTGCACCGTGATGTAGTTTGACGACTTCTACAATGTATCTCCTATGCATTTCTAACGTCTTTTAATTTCCTCTTCAACTGGAAGTTGATTTGTCCTCTCCCACAGAATGGTGTTGCTGATGATATTCGGCCAATAGATGTTGAGTAACTTGAGTAGACAATTGTTTACAAATACTTGTGCCTTCTTGATGATGGTTGTAGTAGTTCTCGAAGTGTCAGCTCCGTACAATCGGACCAACTATCTTGACGTTTGTATTAAAGATTCTGTCTTTGATATTGGTTGACAGTTATTTTGAGTTTCATATGTTCTTCAACTGTAGGAATGCTGTCCTTGTTTTGCCAATCCTCACCTTTACGTGTGCATCAGATCCTCCTTGTTCATCGATGATGCTGACCAGGTACGTGAGAGTTTATACCTGTTACAGAGTTTTTCCATTAAGTGTGACAGTGTTGCTGTTTCCCGTGTTGTATTTGAGGATCTTGATTTTTCCTTTGTGTATGTTGAGGCCTACTGATTCAGAAGCTGCCGATACACTAGTTGTCTTCATCTGCATTTGTTCTTGTATATGGGATAGGAGGGCTAAGTCAACTGCAAAGTCCAAATCGTCTACTTGATTCTGAACTGTCCAAAAATTAAATGTTATCCTAAAAGGGTTAATTTGCGCAGTATATCTTTTATTTATTGATGATCTACTTGTTAAGATCTTTCTATTAACTTCAGCATTTGATCATAATAGATAACAAATTATCTAGCACAAACAAAGGTTAGTTATTTCATTTCAGTGTATAGATTATTAGAGGGTTAACCTTTTAATTTGATGTGATATACTGTTCGACTTGTGGGGTTAACCAGTGTAGAAATAGGAATTGAGGCTCATTGGCAAATTAATATTATAATGGTTGGTTTTTCTTGTTTACACGTACGGGACGTTAATTTACCTTAGACGAATATCTACACTAGATTCCCTCCAAGTGTCTATTCTACAGGATATCAACACAACTTATATCAAGGATATGTGATTACCCTGGCCACAACGTAAATATATTTCAACACCGAAAACCCGATACAATCCAACAATGAATAACCGATAACAATTAATAATAAGGATAGGGGGATATATATAACTCATCTAACACCTGTCAGACTATCTACATATCTAACTAAGCAAACAACCAGTCATTATCATTCTCGCTCGCACATCAATTAAGTAATAACATAAGTTTTTGTTGAGATTATGAACTGATCAGTGTTACGCCACGATTGAAAACCTAACAATAATCAGATCATGATCTCAAATAAAAACTCAAAACATCTCCACAACTCTATACTGATAATAATATGAGTCTTGAATCCATCAAATGTAATAACAAAACTTTGGCCAAGTCATTTTGAACCTATACTTTAAATAAAATCAGTATATCAAAGAACCTAAAATCCCTGAGTTCGTTAGCCTAAATCGAATCAATACTAAAGAAAGTCAATCAATCGTCTTATTGAACATCAACAACATATTGTACAATCATCCTGATCGATTAAACTTTCGGCATGAATATGTAATATATTTAAGTAGATTTATAAACTGTAATCAATAATGATGATTATGTGATTAAGTGTTGCCGAATAATTTGCCGAAATACTAAATAATCTCTTAATCTGAAATGTCATACTATGGGAATTGTATGACTTAAGGGTCTTTAAGGCTGAAACTTCAGTGGGACATTTGTATCCATCTAGCTAACTAAGGTTGACATGAAATGTAGATAACAATAACCATTTATTACACATAAATTACAAATAAATGTAAGGATCAATGCTACGATCAGTCTAATAAGATATGCAATGCTAAATTTAGGATTTATCATCAAATCGGTCAATAACAAATAAATGAAAGTTAATCACTAATCATCAAGGTGAAATTTTTGTTGAGGCTGTTCAATTTGTAGTAAGTTTTCACTATGAATTGACATATTGTTTGTGATCACTAGGGTTTAACTTATTATCATCGGTTACTGAAGTCGGAAAAATGTTTGAACTATTCACTTCTTACTTAATGATGTTGGCTTCTCATGAAGTCTAATACATAAGTGCGTTTAAATATCAAATAATCATAGAAGAGCAATACCAAAACGAAAATGGTCTTCCATAAATTGTGGATGCACAATCTTTCTTCAGCTGATATCAATATACAATAAAAAATTAACCTGAATGATTTTAATTTACAATGGTATAAGTTATCCCCTTGTGTATATATTCGACGGAATTTCAATCAATTTTAATTGATATATGCGCTTCCTTTAGGTAATTACCACTGTCTATTCTATAGAACTGAAATCACTTCCAAATATATATATATATATATATATATATATATATATATATATATATATATATATATATATATATATATATATATATATATATATATATATATATATATATATGAGTACGTAACTTACTTGATTTCCGCTTCGAATGGTTTAATATAAGGTGAGCCACGCATTGTTTGAGTTTTTACAATATGATCATCCAACAATACTTGTATATCATCCACTGAAGAAAGTATAAATGTACCACTGTCACGATATGGTATCAAGTTGAGCTCCATCTATAAACAAAAATAATTAAAACAAAAAAAAATCAATATCGGATGGGTTTTGTGGATATTATAATAATTTCAATGACTAAGATCATGAGTCAATTGAAGCTAGACCACCAGTGCTTCCAGGTTTTCCATGGTGGTCTTGCTTCAACTAACTCATGATCTTAACCATTGAAAAAAAGATCAGTTGGAGTATGTAAAAAAATGATTGAGAATTCTAAAGTTACTGCTTGTATATTAATCACTCCTCAAATAATTTAAGTTTGAGCCTCCTATTTTCATTGAATGATTGATATTAATTTCAGTACAATTAATCTTAAGTAACAAAAGTTTCAGTTTGTCGTATGTCAGTAAATCATATTCCAATTCTACATAGTTTTAACACTATCTACTAAAATCAAAATGAAATAAATTGTGAGTTTGAAATAATCTAACGATTTACCATTCATTTCAAATGAATCAGAACTTCAACAAAACACAATTAAGAAATCGAATATAAACTAGGGAGAATGGAATGGAATCGCGTTATTAGAAGACATTAAATTATATAATCTTAAAATATACTTAATTGTACAATAGCTGCATTAAGTATTCCCCAAAACAAATGTTTATATACATATTAAAATAAACGATTAATAATACTACAGTTTTCAATTCAAAACATCAGTTAGAACTTGACACAAACCCTTCACTGGTCTAAGATGTCACACTTTAGATCAGTATGATGAGATCATATTTGTTTCACTTGCTTGAAAAAACATTCTATTGATTATTATCAGAAGGGGGGTTTTGTAGATATTTTAGCAATTTAATAGTTGAATTCCTGCGCACTACTGAGAAGTCTCATGTTAGGAAGAAACAACCATCCAGTGCTTTCCGGTTCTCCATGGTCGTCTAGCTCAAATGGACTCATGAATTCAACTATTATATTATTGATTACTGTACATGTAGTCTTGTTCAATAAATATCATTATTAGTAGAAAGAGAAGAAAAGTTTCAAAAATCCTCAGTTAAAATGGAAATGAAATTACCCACATATAATTAATTAGTAGTTACCTGTACATCAAAAGTTCTACATGCTTCTACAATGATACACTGTACATTCACTTAGAATAAATTACTTTTATACAAACATTAATAGTAATAATAAATGATTTATTTAAGACTAGAAATTTTGGTTCAGTAGAGAATTATCAGTATCAGTTGTGTAATATCCCAATAAATCTCTGTTTAACGTCTATTAAGATTGCAATCATTCAAAAACATGTTATACAAATGTTTTTCTATAGCCAATACCTCCCACTTATCTTCAAACAGGGAAGTTTTCTACTAGTGCAACGGTCATATTTATATTTTCTTTCTGTCCTATGTGATGTGGACGGATTCAACTGTATTTACCTCTTCTTCTTTAAATGATACATAATTAGTAATTTACACGAACAACTACAATGTGTCCGATTGAGTTTCCTCGTATCTAGCAATGCAGTAATTTGTAAGCTTCCTATAATAACCGTTAAATACATACACAATTTGTATTGAAAAGTATTCATCTAAAACAGACCTAAAATAGGAAAGCTTATTGCAATATATATAGATTTGGAAAACAGATGACTCAAATGTTTTACCATGTATATATGTAAAAATTAAACTGTATGTACATAAACATCATAGAAAGCATGTAACTATCAGTTGAATTCACTTACTGATTCCCATTCTTTATGCATTTTATCCAGTGTTTTTTCAAGACTATTTTCTTTGCTAGCAGCTTCTGAGATTGAGTCAAATTTAGATATATACGGATCAAGATTCATATCAATCAATTTAGCTAAACATATTCCTTCTTCTTGATTACTTACTGTAAAACCAACTATTTCTGAAATCTGTTCCCAATGTCTTTCACGTAAACCTGGATTAAATAACGCACGTATTAGCGGTAAATGTTCTTTGAATTCTTCGACTTTTCCACGAACTTGTGTAGCAATTTTTCGTGGTGCTGGTAAAGTGTCGAATGTCTTCTCTAGTTTGAACAAACTACGATAATAGTTTGATACGTCCATTTCTACTTTTTCTGGTTCAACCTTATCCATAGATCCTTCCATCCATTCTTTATGTTTCTTATTGAATTCTACTGTCATTTCATATAGAGTTAAAAATGGTTTCAATATATTTTGTACTTCATTACGTAGTGGATATGATGTTGTATCCCATTTCAATGCTTCTTCATCTGCATTGAATCCATCTATTTTAGTTAAAGCTATTTCTAACTTTGAATTTAAACTTTGTGCTTTCTTCAAATATCGATTTATTTCATTCAGATCTCCATATCCTTGGAATTTATCCACTTGTTTTCTATATGATTCAATTTCTTCAATAAATCTTTCACGTTTATATCTCAGACTAATTTCAAATTCTTCACGTTTCGTTTGTGCAATACGTCGACTTTCAGCGAATACTTCATTCATACGTGTATGCCATTCAAATACCTGACTATTAATACGCATATCTGATGGATTTAATTGTGCATGATCCATAAGAAATAATAAGCGATCTTTACAATTATCCAGCTCACGTTCTAAGGTGTTCATTGTAACTTTTTCTGCATGATTAACAAATTCATTGATTTGTATCATATGTGAAATATCAGTTGGAACAGTTAACGCTTTGGTACTGATAAGTTCATATTCCTGAATCAAACTAAATAAAATAAAAATATTCGTTTATAATTAATGGTTACTTAATAATTTATTAAGAGTGAACATCAACTCTGAGATGCAGGTACATCCAGCTGACGAGTCCCAAACAGGACGAAACGCGCGTCCTGGATTCCACTGCTAGCCACTATCCATCTTTGCTTATAATGCTCGTAAATTTAGGCAATATCGAGGCATACGCACAGTATGCACATATGCCAATAAGAGACTGATCAATTTCAGTCCAAAAACATCAATGGGAAAATTCAAGTAAAACAATATCAAGTGAATTCAACTTCAACCCATTGCACAAGCAAGTGGCTATCAGGACTCAGTAGCTTAGTGGATAACGCGATGGCGTTTGAAACGAACGGTACTGAGTTCGAGTCCCAGAGTGAACATCAACTCTGAGATGCAGGTACATCCAGCTGACGAGTCCCAAACAGGACGAAACGCGCGTCCTGGATTCCACTGCTAGCCACTATCCATCTTTGCTTATAACTTATTAAGTAGTTTAAATAAATCTTAAATCCCATGAATCACTGATACCTTGAAACTTGTAATAACATACTGATGGGCAAATATTCAGTGGTTTTTTGTGCCCATGTATGCTATGTTACATGAAACTCAGAATGTATTGGACGGCTTTATGTTCCTAATATGAGACCGCTTTAAAGTGCACATCCACCACCCCATAAAGGATCGAAAGGTGAACCTTGTGAACTGGTGGTGACCACTCAACATTCGGGCCAATAAGTTGGGATCCAGTAGTCGACATCTCTGGTCGCGGTTAGTTCATATTAATGCATGACTATTACCCATTATCATTAATGACATTTTTCTCACGCTCAACATGGTTGAAGTCCATTGGGCACGACTTCCCATTCGAACTTCGTGCATTACCCCTCGAAGTTAGTCTTTTGTGACATGATGATCATTGATATAAGGTGTTCCTGAAATTTGTTAAATTTAAAGTTTCACATCTTGATTGATTTTCGTTATATAACAGTTAAAAAACAGTAAGTATTGTATTGGTGTTTCGTCTTAATATGAAATTCCTTAACATCTAACATGTTGTTTACTTCTCAGTGATTAATCAGTTTAAATTTCGTTAATAGTCAACTTTTTCATATGATCACGTATACAAATAATGGAAATACAGAACATATAAGTGTGACGAATACAATGTAGATAAAATTATAAATTTACGTTTTATTCATTATTCTATGATCTTCCAAAATCCGTTCCAAAATACGATCTGATATATTTTCAGCTCGTTTAGTTAAAGAACGAATTAATTCATCACAATGTACTTCAAATAATCCCAAACAAATTGTACGTCTGGATTCATACTGGATTCTTTTCACTAAACGATCATATTTTAATAGTTCACGTGTCAATTCTTCAAATGATGGTCCAATCGGTTTATTTTCAATAACATCTTTTCAGACGCTTCTTCTAATTTCACTTTGTCATCAAGATTATCTTGTAAATCGTCATCATCAGTGGATTCAGCGGCTTGAACTGTTAGTTCTTGTACTGGTGGATTTAACAACAATTCAATATTTTGTTCAGCCTGTGAAATTAGAAGAGATTTTGTCATCAAATATAGTCATTTCCCAAAATGATTTATATACATAGAGCAAACTATGCTACTTCAAACAAATATACAAACAATATGTTACGGAGGGAAGACGATACTCAGAATGTGTTCCCATCAGTCACTAGTTTGAAAAAGTAATTTCTATATCATCACGAACTGATCTCAGAACATGACACCAAAGCTGTTGTATCGTAATTCATCATCTCTAATCTATGCATTCATTTGGTTCTTTACGGGTTAAATACTGGAGAGGATTAAATTATTTATCAAACATTTCAAACTTGACCAGACGAGGCAAAATTTAACAGTTAACTCACGATACAGAAAATAATTTACCACACACAGTATTCATCCTGTTTCAGGAAATATATGAAACCGGAAAAATTTAACTTCATATCAGAAGTCTACGGTATTCTGGTTTCCAGTGTTTGTTTAAATAAAATCACCTCGTGATGTAAATTGTCTTTAAATTAAATAGCCTATACAAAATCCTCATTCTAAAGTCAATAGTTGTCATAAATGTTAAACAACTTTCACAAATGAAAAAAATGATCGCCTGCCAACTCAGTGGTTTTAAATATTAAGGGGTCACTTCAAATCTGAAGGTCCCAAGTTTAATTTGCAGCATATCTGTAGATAGACATTTCTGAAATTTTTCGCACTATGATTAAACATCTGTCCAGTGCTCCTTGGTTCTTGGTGGTATTGTGGTGTGTACTACTGATGTTGACACATGTAAGCAGTATGTATCATCAATCGAAACAGAAATACCTAGCGGTAGAAGGTTAAAAGGATCGAAGAAAAGAGAACGAAAACGGAGAATGATTACTGTGAAAGCAAAGGAACAATGAAGTCTGAAACGATTGACTGGTATTTTGCGAATGAATTATCTGCCGTATGACTCTTAGATTTTTCTAAGATATTCTGTAATTTTGTGTTCAAATACCTTCGATTGTCCCTACTTATGCTCTCGTTCATTACAGTATCACAAATGAAATCAATCGTTAATAAATATAACCTACAAATTACATCTATATTTAAAATAACACTTACTTGTCTGTTGACTAAAAATTGATACTTATCATATTCTCGAATATGTAACTCTGGTCCTTTAAGTTGTAATAATAACATTTTTCTAACTTCATATTTACGTTCCTCAATAATGTCACTTAAAATAATTGGATGTAATGTGACATTCTCAGATTGCTAATGAAAATATAAAATAATTGTAGTACAATATGAAAATTAATGTAATTGAAATAGTTCAATAGCAATAATAACTTATTATAATACTGAAGAAAAAAATATGTAGTTTTACTTTTCGATAGAGTTTTGTTCTCTGAGCTGGATGGTTTGGTCGTGAAGCTTTCATCGTTCTTCTGAACAACATCATCAGCACAAACTTCAGATAGAAGTGAAATGTTCGAATTTCTCCATATGCGTTTCACTTCACTTTTACATGAAGTTTGTGCTGATGATGTTGTTCAGAAGAACGATTAAAGCTCCACGACCAAACCATCCAGCTCAGAGAACAAAACTCCATCAAAATCATCCACCTGAGCTATAAATCTTCTCCACTATATAGTTTTACTCCTACCAACCTTAACCTCTCTTTTCATATTACATTTTAATAAATCACCAAAATAAGTGAACTCAAACATTGATAGAGTTTATAGGGTGTTATATTTAATTGTCAAATGAACTATTTCACTTACTCATTTGTGATTTTACTTCCTTTTTATTGTTTGCTTAAGTTTGAAATCTTTGCTTATTTTGAATAACTTGCTCATAGAATCTAATTTCTCTTTTATTTGTTTGTTGATACTTCTCATGGTATAACATGAATTGTTTTACAATTTATAGTCAATTTTTCTTTATTCCCTTACGTAAAGGATGCATTTTTATATTTATCACTAAATCCATCTAAATAGATAGACCTAACAACTAAGCTATACATAAAATCTCATAACTGAAAGATAAGCTTTAACTAAAATTACAGTATTATTATCAAGAACAAAATGAACTGCAAAATATTTATAAACTGTAAAATGTAAGGTACCTGAGTATCAGTTACATTATCATAAACATAATCAATCACTACATGAAAGACACTTCCTTGCGTGACTTACTTACATTAATAATAGTAATCTCTATTTAGTTATGAAAATAGTCATTCAAAAAGAGTAAAAATTTGCTCATGTATTTCTTCAGTAGATCAAAGATCAAAAAGTTAAGAATGTGCAAAACTATGAATCTGTTCGTTTTACCTTATTGTTGAGTATCATAACTGTTGAATGAAACCACTTTTTATAAACATTACGTAAGGTTTACTGTTAGTAATTGTATATAAAATATAACTAACAACTTCACTTGGTGTTGTTTTACTTGTATCTTCCCATTGTTATTTAGGACTGCAGTTGATCAGTCTCTTATTGGCATATGTGCATCCTGTGCGGATTGTCTCGATATAGCCTTAGGTCACAAGATTTTTAAGGAAAGATGGATAGTGGGTAGAAATGGAATCCAGGACGTGCGTTTCGTCCTATTTGGGACTCATCAGTTAGATGTACTTGCATTGAAGAGTTGATCTTCACTCCGGGATGAAACGCGCATCCTAGATTTCACTACCAGCCACTATCCATCTTTGCTTAATATAACTAATAGTTATAAACGATGCTTTTCTGTAAACTTAATTGCTGATTACATTTACTGCTGTTGATTAACTCCTACTCTTTAAAAATATTGTACAGTCAAGTATTATTGTTCAGTGATAGATTTACAAAACTTGTTTGTTGAAATCCCGTTACTAGAGAGTGTTAGAGCATATGGCTATCATCATCTGGAATTTGAATGAGAAAAAGAGAATCTTTCCCGTGACCAAACCATTATCCTTTTTACCATATAATTAATTAGTTAATTAACATAATTATGTTCGACTGGTGATTACTGGAAATGAATTATCAGATAACAACATCCATTAAAATTTTAATACCACAGAAAGCTCGAGTTGGGGAAATTCCTTTATGATTAGCTTGAGCTAAAATAAATATCGATACACCTAATAATGGGATACTTAACACTGACTTCTAACCACTTCTTAGTTCCTCAGATGTCTAGGGCATTTCAAAGCCTAACAAAAGACAAAGAGTGAGAAATATGAAGTGGAATTTCATTTCTAAGGCTGGTTTAGGTACAAAAAAACCAAAATATTCATTGTTTTATGGGTGGCTTTGATATTCTAGAAGCTTCTGGAAAAGTGCTTGATTTAGTTTCAAAATCAGTAACTATTCACTTAGCATATAGTACATAATTCATCGTCCTTCTAGGATTTTCTCGGGACTTTCTATTGGAGGCTGATTTAATAAAGTAATTGTAGCCTTTACCAACTTCTGAGGAATTATCAGGAACTCTAAACAGAAATGGACTTGAAGTTGTCAACAACTATCTTGAAACAAATATCAATCCAAATTCATTTAGTACTGAGCTACCTTTCTCTGTACATATCCTTTATCTTAGTCGATTGAAGAAACGCCAAATATCATAGGGAATTAAATAGATGTTTTATTCTAACTTAGGATCTTTAATCATGAATGTACACTGAAGAATAGGCCAAACAAAATTTTAGACTTCTGTCTGTTTGATTTATGAAATGTAGTGTAGCTGAATTAAATAAAGGAATCAGTTGGCTAAATCACTATTCATATTACTCTACATCATCCGAATTGTAATCAGTCTATTGAAAAGATCTACAGAGTGATTGTATATTATCTTAGATATTTAAATAGTGAAACAGTATAGGTAACTTGACAATATCTTTTGTGTCTGCATGTACACGACTTATTATAAAACACAACAGCTTTGAGTGGTTAGAGCTAACTGTTAAGAGGTATTATTAATATGTTGAAACTTATTACAAAGATACAACTGTAATCTGTTCGATACATCTTCAAAAACAGAAAGTGTCTTTATTGAACATTGTATTATGACATGTTACTGCTTGTGATATAAATGATTTTCAGTTGTTTCCATAATGCATGCAACACTTACCCAATCAGAATAAAGACGAGTTTCAATTTTAGGTATACTCTGAATAACATTATACATATAATCGAACATATTCAATAGTGTACTTTCGAATTCTTCTATGGATGGCTCAAATTTTATCATATTCTCATCTAGAACTAGACGTAGAATAAATCCAGGATGTTTCTGACCGTTCGGATTGATCTAAAACAATAAATACAATAAATATTAGTATCTTTTTGAAAAAGAACTTCCTTAATAATTTATGGAATAGAAACAATTATTGTTACAATTATTCATTTATTCACTCAGTCAGATATTAGCAACATAGAACGTCGTATATGTGTATCGGTACAAATTAAGACAACATATCAACTGAAATAAATGAAATTATTGAGACAAAGTCGGAGTAAAAATAATCAAATCAGTGGTTGTGGAGAACGTTAAGTATGGATAATATGATTCAACAAGAATGAGTGAGATCGTAGAACACAACAGTGAAAAATGATTGTATAACATAAAACCGAATGGGAGATAAAGAGAGAATGGATATGTATCACTGTGATTGATTCTGACACATGTTACCAAATATCTTTAAACATTGTGAACATTGGTTACGATAAAAGCATGAACCCCAATCACGGGGCCTTCACCTATACTAGGAGTGTTAAGATCAAATACTAGTCATTACTCATAATATATTTTTACAGAACATAGTAAAACCTTAATCATGTCTTTAAAGATATCTTTGATCAATTTAGCATTTGGAATGGAGGTAAAAATGCTAATGACATATACTTAGAACTTCTTACATAAATTAACAAGTCCCAGTAACGTCTTTTTATTAACATACTTATTAAGTACATTTTTATAAGTCAGAAACTATCATAAAACTTTCCAAATGATCCAATCAATTGTTTATTTTGTGTTAAGAATCATAATAACTAATGAAATCGGCCCCGAATTCGGGAGTTAGTTAAGAAGAGTAAATGCAGCTACATTGATTAATTAACCTTTTTCATATCTCATACTTCCTTTAATTTCAAGTAGCTGATATTGCTTTTTTTTCCGAAATCTTCATATTTGTTTCAATTTTCCAAAGTACATTATAAGTTAATTTCATTTACTCTCGTTATCTTATGCAACAATAATTCATCACTATTAAGCACCAGTTTTTAATAATAATAATAATAATAATAATAATAACTTAAAAATACACATAAAACAAACTGTTACCACCTACTGGTAATTGACAAATAAGATTTTTGTAATCCGACATTGAAATTAAGCCAAGGTTTTGTAAATTCTCTGTCATCAGTGTGGCTGCACATCTATAAAATGCTTCAAGTTTCAATGGTTCATCACTAGTCGGAACAAGTTTACGTCTATTTCCATGATAGAAAATACTTTGTATTTCATTGAGCCATCTAAAAGAAGAAATATTAAAAACAACTAATAAAGTTGATTTTCCAATCTTTCAAGTATAGAGGACAACCACCGTAATAATAAATGGCATCCAAGCGAGGTCATTGACTTGCTGAATAAAATCTAATATACATAAAAGATGAGATCAGTTTTTAAAAGAAGTACTCCATTACATGTTCACCAATTGATCACTGAGTAGTAACTAATGCCATTACTGTTTAGTCCTTAATCTGGTAGAATTCTGTAGATCAGGTTGCAATATGGCCACTAGTTTTAGATATCTTACACTATGTACATTGTCTTTTAATGTTAGGTGAATGGAGGTAGTGTGGTGTTTGAATTAACTAATGATTCTTTTGTACTTGTTGATTGCTCAATTTTGAATTCTAAATACAATACATTCGTTCGTGCTTGTCTAGTACTTCTTGATTCGATTACGTTAATTCTGGGATTCCTAGTTCATACGATATCACATGCATCGTTATTATTTTTGAAAGGATTCAATGAGTTTTTTAAACAATAAAATTTATGTTTTGACATGTACATCGATGTTTCACTATCAATTTTTCATCCTTGAACTTTATTTATTCCTTCATGTCAATCTCTGACACATAATACATACATACCTACACACTCACACACATACGATTTGTTAATCAATTAAGTATTTCTATGTACTGGACGGCCGTTTCGTCCTAGTATGGGACTCCTCAGCAGTGCGCATCCACGATCCCGCACCACGCGGGGCTCGAACCCAGGACCTGTTGGTTTCGCGCGCGAGCACTTAACCATTAGACCACTGAGCCGGCATCCAACGGTGGATTGGTTGAGTTAGACATTAACACCGTTGGATGCCGGCTCAGTGGTCTAATGGTTAAGTGCTCGCGCGCGAAGCCAGTAGGTCCTGGGTTCGAGCCCCGCGTGGTGCGGGATCGTGGATGCGCGCTGCTGAGGAGTCCCATACTAGGACGAAACGGCCGTCCAGTGCTTCCAGGTTTTCAATGGTGGTCTAGCTTCAACTGACTCATGATTTCAATCTGTGAAAATTTCTAAAAATCTCCACAAACCCCTTCTGATATTTCTATGTAGTTGAATTCTTCACATGATTTGTAGTTAACTGACTCATTCTATCCTATTTTACAAAAAATCAACATCCAAATATGATCGGTTTAATACAGTATAATCCTGATTGTTAAAAGCTATATATATATATGTCATTATGTAATTATTACGCAACATATCTACTCGATGAGTATTATATTATTATTGTAAAACGTATATATACTAGTGTAGAGCCATGATGAAAAACTAATTGAAAAGAAATTTCTTCGCTCAATTCGTTCCTTCTTTATTTACCAAATGGCAAAATGGGAATTTAGCTATATATTTCTTTGATAATTTTGATTTTGATTATTACCCTGAAGAAGTCCAGACAAGTTAGCTGGACGAAACGTTGGAATTAGTTAAATTTCAATCGCTGATAATATTTCAAATATAATTTTCACATATAATGACTTCTCTATACTCGGTGCTTAATTACTGTCAAACTATTCGTTCTAAACTTGACGAATATTCGTATAGATAATTCAAATACTTTCAAATATTATAGGTAGTCCGTAAGAAGTCGTGGATTTGGGTTTTATACTAGTTGGTACATGGAGAACTTGCAATCCCGATAGAACTGGTGCTTACTGCAAGGTTGGAACCCATTCTGTAGCTTGAGGCGTTACCAATGAGCTGTTCTTCCCAGTACCGACCACCTGGACAACTAATATATCAACGTTGGTTGGCCATTATGAAGCAGCTAATGTTATATATATATATTACCAGTACTTAATGATAATGGAGTTTTTAGGGGGTTTAATATCAGGCGATCGAAAGAATTTGATCAAATCCAAAGATTGGACATGAACGATATTGGTTACTTATCAATAATAACTGTAAGTACCATGGTCCTGAAGGGTTCCGTTGTAGACATAATGGCTCGGTGGTGACGTCTCTGAATGACTCAGATCATTGGTCAGCTTAAACATCGTCTCCTTCATGGTAATAGATACGTTTTGCTGGTGTGTGTTAAAGAGCAAGAAATCTAGGTTCAGGGATCTCGATCGATTGCCTGGAATTACGATTTGCGTTATTTCACCCCACTAAATCTCGGCACAGATTCAAAAAGCTGGTTTGACTTTTGATGGATTGTGCCACTCGTGCCACTCTGGCAAAAAAAGGACAAACATACTTCCCAAAGGTTCTCTCTATCATACTTTATCAACATGAAAGATGGACTTTAAAATTAGAAGATATTCGTGAGTTGCTAGTATTTGACCTCAAATTCCTTCAAAATATTGGGACCATCGGGTGAGTAACGCTGAGGTTTGACTCAGAGTATTGGGCAGAGAGGGCAAACTATCAGACGAAGTAGCGAACCTTTATTGACTGCGGTATATACCCACCTAATATCTGGACACTCAAAGTTGCTCGGTTTAAAAGTTGTTTGAAATGAAGTTAGGGGCGGCCAAAACACGATGAAGCAACTACTCATGAAGCCAATGACTCATGGTGAGAGCCCTCCTAGTATAGGTGAAGGCCCCGTGATTGAGGTCCATGCTTTTATCGTAACCAATGTTCACAATGTTTAAAGATATTTGGTAACATGTGTCAGAATCAATCACAGTGATACATATCCATTCTCTCTTTATCTCCCATTCGGTTTTATGTTATACAATCATTTTTCACTGTTGTGTTCTACGATCTCACTCATTCTTGTTGAATCATATTATCTATACTTAACGTTCTCCACAACCACTGATTTGATTATTTTTACTCCGACTTTTGTCTCAATAATTTCATTTATTTCAGTTGATATGTTGTCTTAATTTGTACCGATACACATCCATAACAGGTTTTTGGTCAACAGTGTGTGACTGACTGACATTTTATGGTGCACAATATCCCATGTGATATATCTTTGTAGTGGAATCGGAAATAAAACTTCGATTAACAATCAACTGATGTCATCAGGGTCAAGGTTTAGAAATTTTCAGTGATTACAATGAATTCTGACTGATTTCTGATGGTATTGGAGCTACCTAAACAGATCCCATGATGTGTTTTTTGTATGCACGTTAACTATATTTTAAATAATGGCTATGAACGACATTCAGAATATGCATGCAGTTCCACTTACCATCAGTAGCTAATAATTTCACTCCTGAACAATGATAACAAGAGAACCCAAACCCTAGTAATCTATAGTAAGTCCTATCTGTCGAACAATATCTGGCTGTTATGACTCAGCAGTGTTGTAACGTGTGTGAGACTGCAGGTTTTGATAAGCAGTGTTTTATTGATCGATCGATCACAGTAACAGGGAAAACACGTACGGACGACCTAATGCCCTGATTGGCCCTGCTTCGCTGTCTGTCCTAGCCAGTTGAGTCAAGAACGCAAGTCACAGCCTCTGAGTTATGAATCATTATATTTCAAACATACTTTGTTTATATACCAATCAAGCACACCACATCGTACCATAAAATAGGAAACAACATTTACAAAATATTTAACAAGTGAAATAAACATCGACCAATAAGAAATGTACATTTAAGGTCCAAGGCCACCATAGACTTAACACGATAGTTATTGGTATATTTTTCCGACTATCCTAACAAGCAGTATAGCAGATAAACCTCCGGCAGTTGTAGATGCAAACGATAAGTTGAAGTCCCAGTGAGAATATCGATTTTCGTGCAAAATTCTAGGTGATGTAATATTCGTTCTAGATCCCAAAACGGGTCAGTATTCTTGATATAATTATGTGGATGTATTGTGTCAAAATTCTTAATAATCTTCG